TTATTATACACATAATTTATCTTTCCTATCCTTTAGCAGCAGTGCGTAAATTGTCTGGAAATGCATATCTGTTCAGCGAATATATATATTAGCGACGAAGTGAATCACAACGCGAAATGTCGAGTCGCCGTAAAATAATACGATTACAAATATAATATAAGCTAACACAGTCTCGAATTAATGATGAGGAAACTTTTAATTCCCAGTTTATTCATTTCATTTACTTTCTCGAATTAAAACGGCATAAATATTAGGAAATTCTAATGAACACGAATCTCTCTGAAATTTTTCGAACAAAGTTCGATAATCCGATAGACTTTAGACGTATGAGAAAATAAAATTCAGTGCATAATACAAAGTACAAAAACAAACTATATTGGCGTCGATGAATATGAAATAATTATATGTCATTATGAATGCGACGCGTTGTTACGGCGAAATTCCGCCGAAGAGAAAAAAAAACCGAACAGAAAATTAAATTACGCCCACAGAAATGATTGTACGCCGTTGCTTCGCTATCGGTTCGATTCAAATTCCTGCTAACGCTGCGGAGACGTGAGATCACTCGAGAACACGTTGACTATGTACTTAGATATCGTTTTTTTTTGTGAAATTTGGCGTATTCTTCGCGGAAGAAGAATGATACTGCGAAATGGAAGGCATTGCTTTCTCTGTACAACGTTACAAATTTTATATAAGCGGAAAACGCAGAGTTGCACATCGAGTGTTATCATTTATCGCTATGACGAGTGATATTTTTTAACCGTAATATAAATATTAATATATTAAAATAGTTGTTGTTGTTATAGTATTCTCTGTTTTCAATAATAAGGAATGTTAATTATCAGGCTTCGAAATTAATACAGTTTAGATAGGAAACTCTTTCCTAACACGATTGCGATTACCTAATAATATTTTCAACATATATCTACGATTATGTCATAATATTAAAAAAAAACCTCCCAATTAATTGTGGGCGTTATCAATAAAATATATGCGATTATATAATATTATATAACGACACTTGCAATTACGTTTATGCAATTTTTCTCGAGACTATTTTACAAACGAGTATCACGATTATTACCTTATTATTTCTGGGTGACATAGTAACGAGCGGCTCTCTGCTCTCTTATATATGCGGAGGCGAATGCACCCTCGTATGCGGGCGAGAAGACGTGAATGAACGAGGTGTGCGAGATGCGAGACGTGCGTGAATGAAGGCGAGATGCGGTGCGAGGCGAGGGCACCTGACCCGCGCGCGCGATCACACGCGAGAGCTGAACTAGGCTTGACTCTCTCGGCGCGAAACGCGAGTGTTACGCGCTACGCGCGACAAAATATATGCGCTCGCTCAATCAGCCGAGCAACTTAATTGCGCGCGCGGACGCGCGTATAGTCGATCCGCAATTCCCCACTCCGGGGAACGTCTTATCCTCCTCGTCATCATCATCGACATCGTCGTCATTGTCGTTGTGTACCCCGTTGTGCTTTTCCCCTTCTTTTACTCTCCCGTCATCCGCGTCTCTCATCAAAAATTGTTTATACATATATAGCAATATAAACTTATATAGAAATATATAAAATTATACATATAATCGCAAAATTATATATGAAATATGTACATACATAATTAGATAAAAGTGCTTTTTATATATAATTATATAAAGTATGTATATAAGTATTTCTTCATATATATATATATATATATATATATATATATATATAATTTGACATGATTATATATATGAATCCTTATAATTTATATATATATAAAATTTGTCTCGGATTATAATTAGGGACAGGCATTTTATGTTTTGAGCATAATGTGTCAAAAATTGTTTAATATAATATTAAGTGTTTAATTTAATATAATATTAACTTAATATAAGACTAAGTGTACATTATGCATAACTATTAAAATTAATGCTTGAAAACAATTTTTGACATATTATGCTGCTCGAAGCATAAAGTGCCTATTCCTACTTATAATCATCCGTCTTTCTCGCCCCCGCGCGCTTCTCTAAACACGCCCGATGACATATTACTCGCGGATATGCGTCGTCCTCGTATGAATAATAGATGAATCAAAATCGTTTGAACCACATCGACGGAGAATACAAAGTTCTATATATGTATATCAATGTGCGCGATAGATTTTTTTTTAAATTGACAGGAATCTGCGCAACGCATCTCCCAGATAATGTCTTTCCTTCTCTGTCTCTCTTTTCCCCTGCAAGATTATCTAATCGTCACGTGTGAACGATCGTGATAATCGAGCTGAGATATAGGCACTTCTATAGTATGGCTTCAATCGTAAAATATGTCCCTACTAACAGCACACATAGGTATCCCGAAGACGTTCAGAGAATATTCTGAGGATGTTCGAATCTCCTCTAGATATCCTCTGAATATATTTCGGATATGTTGTGCTATTAAGAGGGATATGTATAGTATATCAGGATATTGAAAAAATTCATCCATGAAATTCCTTTGATCCAAGTAAAATCGATATATTATTTGAATACGAAAATGTTTATCATCGAGGAATAAGATATTTAAAATGCTTCATTATCTTTAAAATAAAATTAATTGAAAATTGACTGACAATGAGAGATATCTTGTAAAAAATAATGCTCGATGGAAATACAGAATGCTTTTATACGTATGTATATTTATATGTATATACATACATATAATAGGATTTTTTATGTGCACGTCAATATAGATTTGTCGCAATGCTGTCGAAATGTATCAAATTTTCAAGTCAAGATTTTGCAGATTACGCTAAATTATAATAAATAATAACGTAATAATTATAAGAGAATTGCAGAGATCTAATTTTTGTTAAAACTGAAGAAATAATTGCAATCATTTTTCATTATGATTCTTATCACGTAATTTAATCTATAAATCTAGATATCTATATATCTAGATTATTAGATGTTATGATGATAAAATATATGTATATGCTTTCTCTAACATGATATGCACTGCACATTAATTGCGATAACGTTATCTTAATGCCGTACATTATTACCGCAGCTTCTCATGTTTGCAAGAATCAGATGATTTCATCATCGACGTTGACTGAGTTTTGCCAAAAAATGCAAATATTACTTATTCTATTGTATATGTATTCACAATCATAATACAAGTCGTAAAAGGTGACATATCGGGAAAAAATAAATTGGAAATATAGAATAAAATTTTTTCTGCGAGGTTTTTATATTCGAGAAAATTGACTTTGAGTAAATTGAAAAATTGACATTTTTTTAAAACAATAGATAAAAGTAGAATATAAAATTTTATGTTATATTTTTAATTTATTTTTGTTCGATAAACCATATTTCTCGAGGTTGTATTATGATTTTGAATATATGTATCTCTCTGTAATATTTTTATTCTGCTTTTCATTTTTTTATTTCTCTTTAAATTCATATATTAATAATTATAATACCTAGAGGTATAATAACTGATTCAATTTTTAATAAATTACAATGAAATTGGAATACTGACATATTATGAAAAATGCGGTTTTGTTCGAACTAAAGATACTTTCGAGATTTGAAGATAAATATTAAATAAGGGACAAAGTCACTTTTTTTTAATACAAATCATGTGTCTAAGGATATTCTCTTTAAAACAAATAGCTTTTATCTAGAAAGTATTTTTTACTCATATCCTATGCATATATCAAGAATCGATATATATATAGTAAAAGCAAATAAAATTTTAAACAAATAATTAAAATTGTCCGCTATGTTAATTTACCATAGCTATTTTATTAATATAAAAATAATAAAGAAGCATTATGTATATATATATATAAAGATATGTGCGTGCGTGTGTGTATGCAATTGCAGTATATCTCTCTATTTCTGATAATTAAGCTTTTATATTAAAAACTTCTATACTAAATATAGAAAAAATTCCTGCGTGTCTTCCGGAAAATTAAAATGTCACGTTGGACATTCGTTTTAGAACTAGAAGAGCATTTGAGAAGACGAAGACAATTTGTTATTATCGACAGGAATTATCGTTCGTATATAAATATATTTTTTATTTTTTTTTAATGTGATTTTAATTTATTTAAGAAATGTAAATCTTATTCAAAACTAGAAATTTAAAACGTATTTATATAAATTAATTTCAGCAGTCTTAACAGCACACATGTGTCCGAAAGATATTCAGAGAAGGCATTCAGAGGATATTTTATCCTCCTCCAGGATATAAAACATCCTCTGGATGTCAGGGTGTCTATAGTGGAAATCTGGAAAACCGAATATTGTTAGGGAATTTTATAAATCTGGAATTGTGTCAGGGAAAAGTCAGGAAATTTTACTATTTATCTGGATTTTTTTTATATTATTCTACATTTGTCTCAATAATTTGAAATTTTTTATTAAATAAATATAAACTTTTCCTTGACTCCCAACACGCTAATTTTGTGTTATTAAAAATCGATTAATTTACAGCATGTTCGTTCATTTATATTTTCATCGTCGTATTATTTTATTTCAATGTGTTTGATAGAGACAAAACTAAAAAATTTGATATACCTAATATAAATAAAAAAGGTAATTATTTAAATAGTTTATAGTAACATGTTTGTTTCGATTATCGTACATAATGCAGATTGTATAATTGGCTTGTTTTTTTTAACTTCCGAATTTTTTCATTGTTGAGAAAAATATCTCAAGAATTTCATGATTTAACATTTAATTGATTTATCATATAGATATATGCAAATTATATATTTGGAAAAAATAATACTATTAAAAAGTCAGGGAAAAATTAATTTCTGGTCTTGAAAAATCTGAAAAAGTCAGGGAAGTTTTTCATTGAATCTGCTGGACACCCTGGATGTCCCCTGGATGTCCTTTAAACGTTTTTCGGACATGTGTCGTTCATCTCTCAATAAAAAATTGCGTTAAATTAATTTTTGTCCAATATTTTAATATAAATATGGTACGATGATAGAAAAACGAGACACTTACGATATTGTTCGCCACTATCATTGGTTTCGGATGGATCTGCAGGCCATCGTCGTCGCCGAGTTGCTCGCCTATCTGCTCGCGGCTGCTGGCGGGGCCCATTTCAGCACCGCAGCACCGACACCTCCCGGAAGATCAGGTCTGGGTTTTCCTTTGTCGAAATCGAGGCGTTGGCAACCGATCGACCGATTCCTCGGACGATCGACGCGATCAGCGCAGCCCCAATAGCAGCTTACGATGCTTCCATCGAATTTCTGATGGAGATCCTATGGAAATCAGCTTCCTCGATCATGTCTACGTCCATTTGTGTCTCGCGAATTCCCGCAACTTTTACTTCACGTTTTCTTCACGTTCTTGTCTCTTATTTTTGGTCTTTATTCGACGAGCTTAGACGTTACCTCTCACCTTTACGCGATGAATCTAATTTTCTCGCAATCGTACTTTCAATTCGACGAGCATAAGTGTGAAAATAATCGATAATTCTCTCCGTACCTTTCTTAAAAAATTACTTCCATGCAAATTCCATCATCATATCCACTGGCGAACTTTAGAGTTTAAATTTAGCGTGAAAATTTAGCCGCAGCATTTAAAGCGATTCTTGTTTCTTTATTTTCTTTGTTATCATCACGAACATTCGGGATGCTTCCGAATGCCGACGATCTCTTTTTGTTATTTTCCACAGGAGGTATCTAGGGCAACTTCGAATTAATTCGATCTCGTCGATATCTCTCTAACCTGTCTGCGTTGACACTTGGAGGATAGTGTAAAACATATGATCATCGATCGTCATCGATTTCCTTAATCTCTCCTTCGCGAAATCGATTCTTCCGCAACGACGAGAGTAATTTCCTAGTGTTTTGTCACTTATTGCTTCTCACAGGTTTCTTTTTTCTAAATTATTTTGTAGATTCTTGTATATACTCATAAAAGTTCCTGGTCACATTGCGACAAGAACCGGCGCGGATATTTCACGAGAAACTTTCCCGGTAGTCTTCAGGTTATTGGTTCACCCTTCTTCACTTTCGCGGGTTATCCCATACGACCGATCGATCGTGCCCGTTTTCTGACCGCTACCAAGAAGCGAAGTTGATACCGACGATTCTCCGACGACGACGACGGTGTCGTTGCACACACCCACCGGCCGGCTCTGAGAATGAGTTTGCACCGTGAGAATAGGGGGAAGATACTCGAGGGGAGATCGCGATCGCGTGGGGAGAGAGAGAGAGAGAGAGAGAGAGAGAGAAAGGGTGGAAAAGTGAGAAGAAGAGGTCGGGAAAAATCGGTCTCCGCCGGTTTCGATGAAGGTATACAAAAGGACGAAGAGAGAGACGATCGTTGGAGAGAAAATCGTCGCCTCCTCGCCTCGGGGAAAGAGAGAAGAGTTTTTCTCTCGGCCAGCAGGCTCTACCCCGCCGCGGGTGGGTAGCGCCGCGGCGCCCCAGAATCAATAAAACGACCGCCCGGCCGTCGCCTATCTTAGGTCCTTCCCGTCTGGTCTCTGCCTGCCGAGGTCTACCGTTTGCTCGCGCGACGCCGGACGTCCCGAGGCGACGCGACGCCGGCGCGCCTGCTCGTCATCCCCGTTCCTGTCTGCGCCCGCCAATCCGCGGCCGCGCTCCGGCGCGATCTCGCCGATCCGGCGCGCATGCCCGCTCGCGTGCGGGACTCGCGCCGCGGATCGATATTCCACCCCCGTGGTCAGGAGCGTCTGCGAGGGAAAGTTTGCGGAAAGTGCGTTCGCAGAATTCGATGAAATTCTTTACGAGGAAATTCAGGAATGGACGTATACAGGGTGTCCCATAGGGAATTTGATGAAACAAATCAGCTGTCGTTTGTTTATTTAATGCATGCGGTTATTGAGAAAAGAAAAATTATTTGTGTCGAAAAGAGGAAAGTCTGCAGTTTTTCATGGATATAAATAAATAAAATGTTTGTATACCAGTTTATTTTATTGAAAAAAGTATACTAATAATCATATAAAATCACATCATAATTCATGCATGCAGTTAATGAGAAAACAATAATTTTGTGTTGAAGAGAAAAGTCTGCAGTTTTTCATGATTATAGATAAAATGTTTGTATACCAGTTTATTTGATTAAAAAAAAAGTAATGAAAAAAGTGCTAATAATCATATAAATTCACATAATAATATATGCAGTTATTGAGAAAACAAAAATTTTGTGTTGAAAAGAAGAAAGTCTACGGTTGTTCATGGATATAAATAAAATGTATACTAGTTTATTTTATTGAAACAAAGTAATAAAAAGAGTGCGAATAATCGCATATGTAAGCTAATGATAAATATTTTCAAAGTGTGTACCATTTGATAATGTGTACAAAATTCTGTTCTTTTACGAAAACTCGTAAAAATTTTTTCTAACATGTCATTTTTAATGTTTTTGACGATCGTTTTAATAGCTGCTATTAAATCTGACACTGCTGAAAATATTTATCATTAGTTTATGTGATTATTAGCACTGTTTCATTACTTTTTATTAATAAAATAAACTGATATACAAATATTTTATTTATATTCATTAAAAAACTGCAGACTTTCCTCTTTTCAACACAATTTTTGTTTTCTCAATAATTGCATGCATTAAAAAATGACAGCTGAATTAGTTTCAGCAATTTCCTATGGGGACACTCTATAGAAGATTTCCTAAAAGAAATATTTTTCTTAAAATTTAATGAAGGAAGAGATAGGAAAAGAGAAGAGAGAGGAAGGGAGGAAGAGAGAAAGGGAGAAGAATAATATTGAAAAAAAACCGATAGGAAAAAAAGAAAGTTTTAACACTATAATATTGAATAAAATATAGATACTGATAAAGCGAAAAAAAGAGAATAAAAAGACGTACTTTATTGAGATAGAGATTTATTGAGATTCAGTATTAGATGCTTTCACAATCGCACTCTCTTTGTGTAATTGGATATAATCTCGTTCCACTGCATACACCCCTGCACATATATAGTACTTGCCGCATAATCATCAGTCACTCACAATATATATTACAAGAACATTAGAAATATTATTTTTTTTTCAGGAATAAATTAGATGAAAGATGAAACTACGTATATAAAAACAAGTTTTATATAAAACATGATTTTATATATAGGTACGTATACATATATGTATGTAATTTTTCCGAAAAATAGGATGCAATTTATTTGATGAGAAAAAAAAATGTTATTTTGAACTTGTGCTTTTGATAAATATATATATTATTTGAAATTTAAAAAAACATTTAAAAATATATATGTGTATATGTAAACTATTCTTTTACTGATAGGATTTTAAAAACTGTCTATTTTATTATTAAAATTTTTTTATTTTGTCACAGTTATTTCAAAATCTTTTTGAAATTAATATTTTCTATTTTTTATCAAAATAGAATCTACAATACTTTGTGAAAATAATTCCGATATTTCGTATATAGCATACGCATAAAACATTAAGATAATTGTGCGCGCATTGTGTGGTATTATTGAACAAGTATGGAAGCGTACATGCAAAGTTTTATTTGGAACGGTCGGTCATTACCTCGATATACCTGTTAGGTCAGTGCAATTGACGTGTCTCGCTTTTCTTGAATAATTTACTATATGAAAAACAACCAAAAAGATTTTAAATGTATTAATAATCAAATTAGTAATTTTTAATTACAATTGACATAATTGTTAGAATTGATATAAAAGAATGCACATTTTATATTATAATTACAGTTGATTATTCAAGAAAATCTAGTTTACACACTTTGATCCCGTTATTATGTATATACTCTTCATTGTTATAAAATTTATTTATATTTTTACATTTTATCTATCTAATTTCTATTATATAACTTGTACGATATCGACTTGCCGTTATAGTGCACTGCATCCTGCTGATCGCTTTCATTTTGTGCTCTTCGCAGATCGATATCGTTGACAACCCCCGTGGTAGTCACGAACATATGTTCCAAGGATAGTCTGTATATATTCTGGCGATGGACTATTATTAGCAATGATAGTAAAGGAAATGTACCTTAAATTTTAGTACAGGTGGCTTAAATAAGCCTTCTCATTAAATATGTAATATAATCTAATAATCCTGGATTATTTGAAGAACAAAATTGAAATTATATATAAATAAAATTTAATAAATATAGCGAGAGACAATTAATAATCTATCGAAGACTATTAATATAAATAATATAAATAGAAACATATTTTAATTTCGGTATCATAATTATGACACAGTACCAATAATAGATTTAAAAAAAATATACTCATGAAATATTTCACATACAAATATACGCAGTAAAATATTTATTATACACAACCAAAATTGAATTTAAAGGATTTAATCGTTTACTTATTGTACGCGTGATTGCATATTTATTTTTTTTCTTAACATAATGCATTGTAATGCATTATTATAAGATATTATTTAATAATTTTTTGAGTATCCTGTAAATGTTTTATAATTTGTTTTGCTGCACCACTTATATCGCTTCTTTTTGAGCTCGTCATAATTTCAATTCTTTCGATCGCAATTGTTGTGGTCAGAGCGTGAATGTATTTTGGTTCAGTGAGATCGTAAGTGACGGATTGTAGAACGCGAAGGCAGAGCAACTGTGTCTCTTCCGAGGAGGATTCATCTTCCATACAATGACTCAACATAGTTTCTAATTGAGACTCCAGCAGATATTGCAAGCCGGTCTTATTTATGCTCACGTTGTACAGAATCATTAATATTAATCTGCAATTGCAATTGCGCTTGAAATATTGTCAACATACAAAAGCTTGTGTTTTATAAGAGTTTTCTCCTTCAACAAAAATGAGCAAAAAATAAGATTTTTTAAATATAAAAATAGAGATAAAAATCGTATTTATATAAAAATGCATATAACAGGGCAATCACAGTTGTTAAAATATATACCATATTTATACCTTTTCAAAGATAATGATCCGGGAGCTGATGGCAATTCAGGTGTTAGTTTAATTATTTTTTGTACAAATTCTATGCCATTGGAATTTGTAATTAAAAATTCGCGACCTTCTGGACTTTCAGATATATTAGTAACAATACCAAGGAGTCCTATTATGTATTGATACTCAATATTACTTGTCGGGGGGAATACGTTTCTATAAGTATTAACGAACGCGCCAAAAGTGCCGTTTACTATCGACAGGAATTCTCCTATTTTATTCTGTGTGTGAAACTAAAAATACTACATAATTAAATTCTCATATATATATATATATATATATATATATACACACACATATATATATATATATTACATATTTGTTATATTACGAAAAAATATATATATATATCCACATGGGCGTCCGCAGGATTTTTTCCAGGAGGGGCATATTCAATTTTTACAATTTTTTGTTCTTAATTCTTTTAAATTTTATTTTTTTTGTAATTTTTAGTCTTTTATATTAAATATGCAAATAACAATTTTAGTGTTAATTCAAAAGGAGAGCAAATGCTTAATTTTTTTACTAATTCCAAGGGTGGCAAATGCCCCTTTTGCTCCCCTCTGTAGATGCCCATGTATATCCATATTTTCATGTAAAACAAATAAAAAAAAATATATATATATATATATATTTTTAAATATATTTAATATAAATAATATAAAAAATGTGTTATATTTCAAATATAATAAAATTTAATGTCTTTTTACTTAATATTTTTAACTTACTGTAGTTAACCAGATATCGACTATTTGTGGAAATCTAGAAGCATGCCAAGTCAAGTTACTTAATACTGCACCCAGGCTTGTGCAATAGGTACTTTGGCTTATTATCTGGGCGAAAGTAAAGAGACATAAACAAATAATTGAGCCCAAGCCCAAGAAGATACTCCATTTATAACATTTCAGCACATTTTCGAAATAATGCACAAATAAAATACATTCAGAACTCTTAATTTAAAGAAAATAAACACAGTACAAAAAATAGTCAAATGATAATAGTACAGTGGTGCTATAATAATATTAATAATGAAGAAATGAGATAATATAATTTTACTTGATCTTTTAAACGTTCTATCTCCTCGAATGCAGTTTCTTTTTCTTTCGTCAAACGATCAATTTGAACACCCAGCTCTTCACACTTTGATTCCAATGCTACCATTTTTTTTGCATCATCTATGCATAAATCCAATGTTAAATTTCTATCATGCACAAAATATATAACAATTTAATATAAATTAAATATAAAGTTTAGTTATAAGTTGATTATTATTTCTAATTGGTAATAAATTTAATTATATTTTATAAGCTTGTGCAATAAAATGAAACATTTAATATAAAAAATAACCTTTTGACGCATCAACAGATGACATTGAGAAGTCATCAAAAAGTGCTTGCGTTTTCTTTCCGTTCGTCTCCTCCCGAAACTCAAATGTTTGTGGAATATCATCTATGAATTCGTGAAAATTATGTTCGCTGGAATTTATAATTTTCTCCAAAGAATTCTGAAAGTATGAGGTGCAACAAATATTTGTCGTTATAAAATAAAATTACGTATAAATAAAATTAAGCTTTATCATATAAAGCATATACATACTAAGAGCTCACATTCATTCTTTAAATTGAATTCATCCATGTGTGTTTTCGTTCTTGAGTTATCAGAAAAGAATGACAATTTACTCGCAATTGTTATACACAAATGGTTTTCAGATTACTAGTTGCAATTCGACAGATGCGTAATGTCAAGATTTTAAATTGCTATCTATGTGTAACCTCTAATTAATTTCACAATTAATATAGGAATGCAATGTGAAAGCGATTTTATATTTATGTATTTAATATTTCTCTACAATATATGGTAATAAATAATTTAAAACAAATGTTACATTAAGAAAATATATATAAATATATATTAGAGATTTATAAAAATCATATTCATATAGAGACATGTATGACATTTTAAATTTGACATTTATAATTTTGTACTTTCTCGTAAATTTTCTTTGTGCTTATAAGGAGATACAATTTTTAAGAACATCACGCGCAAATATATTTTATAATATAATCAGAACAATTCGACTTTTACACTTACTTTTACAGTACAGTAGTACTTCCAATTTGCATTTAACAAATTTATTTGACGCAACTTATACAATATTATATACATATGCATGTTCGAATTTCAAGACATATTCTAAAGATACATTTTTCAAAATTTGTTTAATCGGAAAAAATTATTTATTGATCAATTTTGTATTTTACATTATTATTATTAAAATATACTTTTTAAATAATAATTTTAATAACAATATAAAAAATAATCAGTAAAAATAAACAGTATATATATATATATATATATATATATATATATATATATATATACACAGGGTGAGTTTTTTTATCTTGAGACATCGAAATATCTCAAGAAATACGTCCTGGGGAGGGGGGACTTTGAAATTTCAAATTTCAAATTTTTTTTTACATTTCAAACAAGTGTTTCGAATAAAACTTGCGTATTTTTGTATGGAGAATCTGAATATGCCATAAAAAATCGGGGATCCTATTTGAAATTTCAAAGTCCCCCCTCCCGCACCCGTGGGGATTGGGGTGGGGGAGTTAATTTTTACGGGATCAGTTTTCCCCTTCGAAAATACAAAATTTTTGTTCGGACAATTTGTTCATCCAGGTCGTATTTCTTGAGATAATTTCGATGTCTCAAGATAAAAAACTCACCCTGTATATATATGTGTTATTAATCATGCAGTGATAGTTATTTTATTTCTTATTAATTATTTATTTAATTATTTTTTAAATTAAAATATATATGGTAAAATCTAAAATGCTGTTACTATAAAAATAGAAAGTACAATTTTCTAAAATTAAATTTTTAAATTTATTTTAAGATATATATGCTGAATCTATAACGTTAATTTAATAATATTGATATATTTTATATTATTTAATATTATATATTATTATAATATTATAATTATATATAAATATATTAAATATTAATTAATATAATTATATTTAATATTATATATATATATATATATATATAATATATGATTTAATATATTAATATATATTCCGAAACTCTACTGTATGTGCAGTGCATATATGTATATATAAGACTGCTAAATTACGGTAAGATTTCTCCGCAGTGCAGTTTCCGTCCATCGCGATAAGATAAAACGTACACACCCGACTGGATATTCGTCACGTTCGGCTTGAATATCAAATTGAAAGGTCGAAATGCGTCGCAAAATGCGAACGCACCCATCGACGTAACGGTAAGTTGCGTTCTCCCGCGTGGCCTACATCTGATGCATCTCGGAACGCGCGGCGTGTGTGCGTGCTTTCGCCTTTGCGCGTCCCTCCCGTATTATTATGATGCACCAGAGCGGTATCAGGCGTAACCTCGCGACTTGTGGCAGTTTTATTATTTTTCGCGCATCGCGAATATCTGCGGAGTAGAGCTGACTGGGATCCGGATCGGCACGACACCACGGTAAGTATTATACGATGCATTCCATTTATATTAGAGATTCACTCGCGTGTTTAATGCAAGCTTGAGATTAATGTATCTAAAAGCGCGCGATGTGACGCTTTCCCGCTTTCGGGGCTCCGATAATTTACGTATACCTTCTTCCAACGGGTAATTACAAAATTTACGCGGCACCTGCATTTTTCGCTCGCGAGACCTTCCGTGTTGCATAATTATTCGCCAATGCGAGCTTGTGCATGTGGAAAGCAATGACCGATTGGTTTTTTTTAATTACGGTTGTATAATTTACGATTAAATCGGCATTAAATATGCCTAATTGATCGAATAGTTTTGTTGTCTTATTGCTTTTATTGCATTAATTATTGCTTTATATCTGATATCGATGAGAAAATTTGATGAATTAATACCCACAATTAACTTTTGGTATTTTTTTTACTATAAATAATTTTTTAATATTATGCTAGGTCTCACAATGAAATTTACCGAGGGCGAACAGGTTCTTGCCAAATATCCAAATTCTTCTGAATATTATAAAGGAAGAATTCTCAATATTAGAGGTGATCGATACAAGATAAAATTTGAAACAGGCACTGAGCATATGGTTAGAGAAAATGACATAAAGGTAATAGCTAGAGGCCATATCTGATAAAGAAATATTATTAAAAACTGTATATATAAGGAAGAACATAGAAATATATACATATATATATATATATAAATTTAAGAAAAATTTTATTATATATTAAAGATATATATTATAAGGCTACGCATACATATATTATTTACAAACTTCTATATTTTTTAAGTATGAAGGTAAGGAGAGAGTAGGGAGAAGTTCAAGCAAAGGCAGGCTAAAAAGTCCCTCAAGACAATCGCCTAGTAGAAGGTCACTGAGTAGAAGATCTCCGGGTAGACAATCAGGTAAATCGCCTGCAAGATCTCCAGTACTTACCAGAAAGCTGCCTATTCGTAGTGCGCGTCTTGCCAAGATCTCTCTGTCACGTATAGATGTCGAAGGTGGTAAGTACATGTTTACTATGTATGCTGTTTATACAACATAGATATGCTATATTCGTTTTCACTAATAAACAGATAAGGCCAGTAATCACAAAGAAGGAAAAGTATTGCAAGAGAGCCCTGAATCGGTACCTTTGCAACAACGTTTGCAGAGGGAAATAACACGTAGAACGACGTTTTTGAAAAGTGAGCAGGAAAAGGCACTTGCATCGATGAGAAATATTGATAGAGCTGTTTCACTACCATTGGAAAGGAAAAGTTATATACATGATTATACATTGGGAGAAAAAGAAAGAGGATATTCCATGCAAAGAGATCAAGTAAAGTTTAATAATATCTTGTTGATATTATATTCTACTAATAATACTGTTTTATTTTCTTTATATACTTTATATCATGTTATTTACACTTTATGATATAACAGTTTACATAATGTATTAATAATTATCACAGAATGTGAAATCACAAGAGTCTGAAAAGTGGGAAGAAACAGTGAAACGTGAGAAAGAGATTAATAGAGTTGATGAGCCACAAGAATGGGGTGGATGGATTGGAACAGCTTTTCTCACATTTATCTTACCAATGTCAATAATCTTACCACAACTCTTGTGCTCAAAAGGACAATGCAAATTTGGTCGTGTGGAACTTCCTGTTAACTGGGAATCTTACATAAATTTATCTGGATTATTGTCTTATGTTGCATTCTTCATATTACTGGCATGCATTTCAATTATACCAATTGGAAAAACTGTAGATGGACAGCAAAGTAAAATTGGTAGACTTCAATATCGTATAAATGGTACATACTTAACATTGCGTGGTTTTTATTTATATATATTTTTGTGTTTTTAATCATATTTCTTATATTTTCTAATTTTTAGGCTTTTTGGGCGCTATATTGGCAATAACGATATTCGGTTTATGCATTTATAAAAATATCTCAATCAGTGATTTTATCTTGGATAATATTGTGCAGTTGTCAGTGAGTGGTTGGCTTGTGGGAACATTCTTAGCACTGGGATTGTATATCAAAGCAGGAAAAGCTCCGCTAGCTAATCTAAATATATATGCATCGACTAAGAGCAGAATATATAATTTTTGGCAGGGTAGAGAGATTAATCCTCGAATTGGCGCTTTGGATATTAAACTGTTGTTAATACGAGCTTCTCTTATTGGCACGGTAATTATTTTTATTTTCGTAGAAGACGGGAATTTTGAGGATTCGAAAAATTTTAACATGATTATTTTTTATTTTACAGTTGATCGTGAACATGGCTGTCATAATTAAAACTGTCGGCGATGTAAAGAGTCTAAAAATTGAACAACTTAATATAGCTGCATTGTTGGTCGTCTTATTGCAGCAATTCTATATTGTAGATGGATTAATATTTGAAGCTACTATCTTTACTTCCTTCGCAATAATGTATGAAGGAACTGGATACATGACATGCGTCAGTCACTTGTTATATCCATTTTTGACAACTCTTACAACAAGATTTATATTATATCAAAAGTAAGCGGATAAAGATAAATTTATAAGTATTTAATCTAACAATGGAATATTTTAATCCCTGTTTAACACACTTTCAGAATAAAATTTAATTATTTCGCCGGGATATTTATTTTGAGTTTTGTAATGGGATATATCTTGTACAGAACTAGTAATTCGCGAAAAAATGAATTCAGAAAGAATCCCGTTTCACCGACCGTACCTTGTAAGTATTTAAGAATAAGTAATTATTTTCTTTTTCCCCTTTTTTTTGTTTTGGCTAAAATAAATCACAATATCTATTTTTGAAATTTATAGATTTAGAGACCATCCCGACGTCGCGTGGAAAGAAGTTGATGTTGTCTGGCTTATGGGGTCATGTAAGGCATCCTAATTATTTAGGTGACATTATAATGCAATGGTCTATTGCAATAATTAGCTTAATGAGTGACATATTACCGTATTATGCGGCGATTTGCTGTACATTAACGTTAGCTTATAGAGCTGTAAGAGATAATAGACGTTGTCAGATGAGATACGGATATGCATGGGAGCAATATTGTTCTCGCGTGAAGTACATGATCTTGAAGCGTATATTTTAAGACGATAGAGTATAAGTAGCAAAGTATTTTTTAAATACCACAAATTATATTATAATATACTATACAATTTAATTTTTAAAAAGACACGCTCCGAAGGGTACGCTCATGACACATTATAAAGATCTCTAAACGTGCATTTTCAAATATTTTTATGATACAGAGATGAGATACAGTGATAGTAGTATTATAAAATACATAATTATGTAGAATTGGTTAGAAACCAAAAATATTTTGAGATTTATTATAATATTGAGAATTTTCATATTAGAGATATTTAAGTTTATAAAATGAGACTTTCTATACGTATGTGATGACAATAGAAAAGCTAATAAAATGATGCTGCACGTTTTTGCTGAAGGGAAAGAAAATTTATGTAATTGTATTTAAAAATAAGTATATAAGGATATAAAATATTTTATATAAGAGACTGTGCCTGTAATATCGAGCATTATAAATTGAAAATACAAATTAATTAAGAAGTTTTATACTTTTATATATATAATTAGATATATAAATGTATAATTATGTATATTTAATCGTAATTTGACATTATGATAAGTAAGTTTATTAAAGACACATCGTTTTTTAATAAAATATATATATTATCGTCTATATTTTCTTGTGTTTGTACTGTGTTCTAATGCAATGAATTTCAACAAAGACATATTTTTAGTATCTATAACTAATTTTAAGTTATATTTCATTTTTTAAGTATTTTTATCATTAGCAACATTTTTTTTATAATTTTATCGTTTAAGATTTTGTAATATAAAAAGTGAAGTCATGTGTGTAAATGAAACACTAAATAAACAAAATATTATAAAATTGTTAAATTTTTGAATAATTAAATTAACTGTGCATGATAGAAAAGCTACAGAGATATAAAAAGTTCGCTGAAGAATAATTATACAGGTGAAAAAAGGAATAAAAAATATTGTGCATTATAGATATTTATGGAGTAAAAAGGCATTAAGGGCATTATATGTATATAAATAGAGTGAAACAGATTTAAAATTCTAAAAATTGATCGTTAATATTATATTTAAAAGTATGTATTATATTATTTATACACTTATTTTTTTTTTTATTAAATTACTCGTATATTTACATATATACCTAATTACTATAAAAGCAATTCTTGTTGTCTAAAGTAAAGTTTAAAAAAATGTGTTTATTTAATTTGTTTGTATGTGTAATATAATCAAACTAAAATTTGAGTATATTTCTTATACTGTAAATCATCATATATCTTAGTCAATTATTAATAAGATAGTACTCTGTTTTTACATACATTTTTTCTATATAACAAATATTCTCTATCTTCTAAAAATAAATAAGAATTTCAAAATTGTGTATATGACTTACTTTTGAAGTAATAGAAGCAAATTTCTGCTATACATTTGCATTCTATCCACAGTAGACGCGCGATTAACTATCAGAGTAAATATATATTATATATTTATTTGGCTATTTTTTGTATTTATTTGTTCAAATTATGTTTAGAAATTGTCGCATTTTACTATACATTTTTACGTGACGTTTTTTAAATTATGTGTACTTTTTTCAGAAAAAATATCTTTTACTTTAAACTTGCATGCGATGATATAAATAAAATCTTTTTTAAAAATTATGATTAAGAAAAATAAAATTATAAAAATATATATCTAATGTCAATATCATTCTTTTCATACTGTATAGTATATATAGTATATATAGTTTACATATTTTATATAACTATGGAAAAAAATGATAAATGAAATGTTAATTTGTTATATACATATGTTTTTATTATACAATTCCCTAAATTTGAATTAAGATGTTATTTATTAATGTGATAGCCAATTATAATTTACTATTGATGATTTTTAATATTTTTTCAATTTTATCAGTTGCTTTTAAAATTTCTAATGTGATTTGTGTGATGTTTTTCATTTTCGATATTGATATTAAATATATACTTTGTGAAATTGGGAGCCAGAAAATTATTTTATAAACTAATAATTATAAAATTATAAAATGAATCACAATATATATCATATGAGAAAAATAAACATGTACATAATTTTTATATATTATTGTACACAAAATATAAAGCACTATACATCATTGCAGCAAATAAAATCAATAATACTTTTCTATGTATAAAAAGAAAATATATACACTACATATATATAGACAGAAATAAAGTCTATATTTATTTCCAAAGTAAGAAATATGACGTAGACCAATTTTATTATCACGAATGCAAATATTAAATTTAATTCTAACGCAATTTATTTTTGGATCTTACTGCGACTTTTCTTATTCATTACCGAATTATTGGCGTCTTTTCCATGTTGTGCACATGACATAAACTCTCACGTTTCATTAGGAACATATTCTCGTTCGTAATATCGCTACATTGTATGTTTTCTAATTAATGAAAATCTCGTAAATATATGTTGTTGACACACGAGTCTCTCGCAAATACATTTTATTTTTATCGATAAATGTGTTTCATGGCAGTACTTTCGATTCAGTACTTTCATCACCTGTTGTGCATTCGGTTGGATCTTTAATTTCGCGAAAAATTACACATCGCTCACGTTTGACGTGCTTGAAAGCTCGAAAGGATCCTCCCGAAACGATTGGTCCTTTTTAAATACAGAAGTGACCGAATTCGATTTAATATCCGTTTTGTCGCTCAAAAAAATAGAAGATCCAATACACGGCATTGAACAGCATAAAGCTGACTGGGAAAATAATTCGCGAATACTTATCTATCACATTCACATCCTTGATTTTCGGCATCGACACTCGCAACACGGAAGCTCCTCTACGTATAGCATGTAAAACCTATAAAATATAGACATTATAAAATTTAATTTACTTTCTACTTTAAATTGCAATACATTTGCTTGACCATTTTTCTTCAGTTTCCAGATAAACCAGCGATAATTCGCGTCTTAATTGTTTCTATCATTTTATAATTATTATTTAGAGTACTTTTTTCGTTTCTTATCTCGTACAGGATATTTTTTTCATTTTTATAATTTCATAAAATAAAATGAATATTTTTTCACATGAAAATGTGAAACGCAAAACTATCATGTGGAAAGATTTCAAACTTTCCTTAGACATATATTTTTTATAATTGCGTTGTAGGGTGTCCTATAGGAAATTGCTGAAACTATTATATATAATCAGCTGTCATTTTTTAATGCCTGCAGTTATTGAGAAAACAAAAATTGCGTTGAAAAGAGGAAAGTCTACAGTTTTTAATGGATATAAACGAAATGTTTGTATACCAAGTAATTGTGATTATTAGCACTTTTTTCATTACTTTTTTTAAATAAAATAAAATTACAAACTTATGTATACAAACATTTTATTTATATCTATTAAAAATTGTAAACTTTCCTCTTTTCAACACAAATTTTATTTTCTCAATAACTGCATGCATTAAAAAATGACAGCTAATTAGTTTCAGCAATTTTCTATGAGACACCCTGTATGTTTAAGAATATCTGTAATATGATTAAGCATACCTTTGGTTTATGCGATCTTGGGCCTCTGTACCTGAGACCGCTATTTCGAGTGTGCGTGTTGTAAGCGGCGACCCTGGAAATACGAAAGCTTGGCGGAAACTTGGCCGGGTCGTGATCCCTTCCAGCTCCCGGCATCGATGAAGCGCTGACTAGGCCTGACCTATTTCTAATGCTCGGCAGAGGCGACATTCTGAGATCCTGAAGTTCTATGATATCCGCGTCCGTAGAATCAGGAAAGGGCGAACTGGCTTTGCTCCCTGAAGAAAAATCGTAAACTAATCGAATGGAAAAATAATCAAAAGAAAAAATCCCTCATTAAATATATATTCAGTTACCAATTTTAGAAGAGAGCACTTTCTTCTCGTCGGTCTCTTTCTTCTTTGTTTTCTTTTTCGCTCTGGCACCCCAATACGTATAATTGACCGCTGCGTATTCCAACAGAGCCGCAAATACAAAAACAAAGCACATCACCAAATAAATATCGATGGCTTTCACGTAACTAATCCGTGGCAGTGAGCTTCTAACACCCGTTGATATTGTTGTCATCGTTAACACGGTCGTAATACCTGAAAAAATAAGCTGTAGACTTGAGAATTTCTTCTCAGACAATTTTATTTAGAAGAAAGAAATTGAAGAGAAAATTATTTTCTAATTTCAGAATAAAGAAAAAAGAAAATTTACTAACTCTAAATTAATGGTTATTTTAATTAATTTTAATTGATTCAAAATAATATACCTATATATATAATATGTATGATATAATAAAATAATTAAGTCTAATAGAGCTACATATTAATTATTATAATTTAATCAATAATGTTTTACTAATAGAAATAGAATGTTATTCTAATTGAAATAAATTAATTATAATTAATTAATTAATTAAATAATTATTAAATAGGACTATTATACTTGATTAGATAATGTTTTAAGAAAAGCAATATTTTATTCTGATTTTACCGAGAGCTACTCTTGCGCTGGTAGCTTCATGATTGATCCAGAAGCTAACCCAGCTAAGCATCACGATCAGTATACTCGGCAGGTATGTCTGAAAAACAAAATATCCGATGTTCCTTTGAAGTTTAAAACTCAGCGAGAGTCTTTGGTAGATGCCTGTTGCCAATTCCTCCTTTCGATCGTTGGTCTCGTAGCCGATTATCGTAAATTGTGGCAATTCCGCCTCCTCGACTCCGCGAACGGGAGTTTCTTTCCAGTACATTACTACGTCGAGAACTGTATATCCATCTGAATATTTAAAATAATATAATTTAGAAAGGGACACATATGAATTATAACTTATAACGACTCGATCTTCTTGCGTTTTTCTCATTTATTGATTAAAAAATTAACTATCATATATTCTAATATATTTCATATATTTTATAATAATATTTTATAATTTAATATATTTCATATATATTTCTAATATATTTCATATATTTTAATTATCATATATTCTAAGATTTTCAAGAAACATTACCTCAAATTTAATAATTATAATTTTTACATAAAAATCTCTATAGAGGAATTTAATTTAAACAAATATATAGGAAAGATATGCGGATCTGTGCGTACGCGCGTGTGTATATCTTTTTATGTAAAAAGCCGCTATTTATAAAAGAATAAAGAGAAGAACTTTGACGGTTTTATTTGTTCGGATGATCGATTATATTAGATGCGTATTTCAATACATACAGCTCTCGATTTCGACGGTGCAATTCTGTGAATCGAGAGGATAATAATGCAGATCCATCATGCAGGCTAGAGTTGTCGTGAATCTCATGCCATATGTGACCGAGCCGTCACCCGATAATCTGACAAGCTTGTTGCGCTCGGTGACATCATGCAGAAAGCTACAAATAGTTCAGTAAAAGAGTATGTTAAAAAACAGAGACGAAAAGAGAATATAGAAATTTAAAATACGAATAATTTAAAATGGTTACGAATATTCAGCAAGTTTTTGGAAACGTTACTCGTGAGTTATTCACCTGTTTTATCGTTTGCGAAAAACGTATCGGGGACCCAAATCTTTTCTGCGAAATCACCGCTTAACGTCAAGACTTCGTCCTCATGCGAAAAAGCGAGTCTCTCGTCCTTCCAGTATTGATTTAGGTACATCGTTATCGTGTAATCCTGAGACGCAAATGACATTAATTGTGATGGAATTTATTATTTTAAGTAATTATGAGAAAAAGACATATAGATATATTTTTTTATAATATTTTATACATAATTATTAAATGTTTATATGCAATTATTCTCAATTATTCCTTTCTTTTTATTTTACAGATTTTCATCATTTATCAACAGTTAAGAAGTTCCTTTCTGCGAAAGAGTGTAAAAGAAAGCGATTTTCAAGAGGCTGAAAGAAGAGAACTTTAACCGAATAATGCAGAGACTTCAAGGTAAGAATCGATTTGAAAATGATAAAAATGTTATGAGTATTAGGCCGTAAAAAGCCTTTGTATATTATCAATATATATATATATATATATATATATATATATATATAATATTCTTATCAGATATCTTCGTTTACAAATGGTTGTACAAGATATAATGCACGTATAATATAAATAAAAATAGGTAAAAAACATGAAAAATTCAGAAATAAATTTACATATAAATTGGAGATTCTAAATTTCTGACATCTTATAAAAAGATTGCTAGATTCTCGTTATAATTTAATTTAATTCCTGGTTTAATATAAATTGATAGCAAAAAATTAATTTTAAAATTCAAAAAAAATATTAAAATATTATTTTATAAAAATGTCAAAAAAGGTAAGTAAATCTTGTATTGAAGACGAAACAATTTATCTATCTCTCTACTGTATGAATACATGTATATTTTATTTTCTTACCATATTGACTTCTGAGATCGCGTCGAAACTTGCAATGGTGAGATCCATCCCAACTAATAATGGATCACCTTTAAATAATAATTTTTTATTAAATTTTGAAACATCTCCAAAGAAGTGAGCATCCTAAATCCTCGAGTAAATCTTCTATTTTTTAAACTATTTGCAATGGGGAGCCATTAAATGAATAAAGAAATAGATTAAAGCCTTTTTCTAATCCTGATGATAATACCAGCAAATTACTTCCCCTTGTTGCACGTTCGATTAAAAGTGTTGATTGCGATCGTGCTTTATTCAATGGCATGGAAAATTTCGTTAAAAGCTTTTTTAGCGTTATGTATTTCTCTCTACCTTCAGGCGACTCTATTCTAAAATTTAGTTCTGCCAAATGTAGTTTGATATCTAATTATTTAATTATTTAATTATAATTATAATATAAAAAATGTACATATAAATTATATACATATATATATATATATATATATGTATATATATAGTATATATGTATATAGTATATAAAATACATATAGTGATTATTCATATGATACATATGATGATCTCGTCTGTTGAATTTAAATAACATATTGTGTAACAAGCATATTTAATTTCAACTGTATAATTTTCAATAAAATGTACAAAAATCTACAAAGCTATTATAGAGCTCACCGCCAAAGTTCGGTCTTAATCGAATATCATAGCCATCGAGTATCCTCGAAATCGTCTGTGTAACGTTCTCCAATCTATCGGACATCCCGATACTCTCTAGGGAAGCCCTGTAAAGTGTGAAATTTCAAAATACAGAGAGTGGTTAGTACTAAAGTTTAGAGTTGTTCAAATATTCTGCTAAAGAGTAAAACATTATATCAAGTTTCTAAAATAAATATTATACGATAATAATATAAAAAAATAGATTATATATAGGGATAGTCTTTTTTTCATACACACAAATAAATTTAATATTGATACATTTTAATATCGTGTTATAAGTATTGTGATCATGTGATAAAATTAAACACTTGATCATTAAATAATTTTCGATTAGGAGTTTTACTTTTTGAAGTATGCACCGAAACATTTACATTTCTTTGACGTTCATTTTTATTAAATATGGCGAAAAAAATCCAAAATATTTCTCGGCAATATGACACAAAAATAATTATTCAACACCTTCGTTTCTTTTTCTAGTACTTTTATATAGTGACAAATTATATTTTTATCTTAAAGCGCGAATAATATTATATAACGTGAATTGTGACATGTAATACGCAAGGATGTTACGATATAACGTGCATTACATCGAAGAATAAAACAATATAGAACAATATAAAAGTTAATTATTTATAAAACGAAGAATCATGGATCTAAAGAAGATAACGTCATGCATTGTGAAATATCTTCCATTGACTAATTCAGGCACCGTCGACTTGGTCTGGTCCATAGCGATCATTTTACTCGTGATCGTAATATTTTTCATTATCATGAGTAAATAAAAGAAACGTTTTTAAAATCTCGACAAAATCATGAGATGGTTTCAAATCCAACTTTATTCGGAGAGGATCATCAGGTTCGTCTTTTGCCCGGGAAATGGAGCTTTGTTGTCTCTTCTTGTATACAGCGGATTGATTGGAGTTTTAATTGCTCAAACAATCGTTCGTGTTACGCGCCTTCGGCTTAATTCAGGTATTGAATTACTTTCTCTTGTATTTAATTATGCCATTTTATTTATGTGTGTATATTGAGTTCTCTTTTGGTTGCATTAATATGTACCTTTAATTGACAATGAGTTATCCTCAATTAGTTTGTAACATTATAAAGATTTTAATGCAAACTTTATTTTAACTTTTACTTTTACTAATTTTATAATTTATTTTATAATTTTATATTTACCTATATTTGTTTTATAATTTTTATATTTATATTACATAATATTTATCTTCTTTTTACTTATTTTAATTATTTCATTTGGAAATAATATTACATTTACAAGAGTTCTTTTTGTTTCGAGTTTACTGTGTCTGAATGAATACACTTTAGGAAATAAAAATCGTGCTCCTTGCATATTTCGTGTCACGTGTACCTTATAATAAATAGAGCGGGAAGAGCATCCGCGTTATTGTTTGTCGCGATGTTCCATATTAGGGGAAGAATTCGAATGACAGTGCTCACCAGATGACACGGTGACGCGGCTGCACGAGGAGGAGGAAGACGATCAACGACAGCCCGCGCAGCAGCATCCTGCCAAATCGTCTTCGTTATCCGAGCGAGATTACGTCAGCGAATGACGAGCGCGTTGGAGAACGTCATCTCGCGGTATCCTCGCATCCCCTCGGCATCCCCGTAATCGGCTCGCCGCCGCCGCCGTCGTTCTAAAATCGCAGATAAAAGGGAAGACCCCTGGGTATAACGATTCTGTTTCCTCCGTCTTTGCTCTTGACCTTTCGCATGCCAGTTCCACGCATACCAATCCTACGCACCCTCGAGAGATCATCCCGCACGCGGAACAAACACGCAGAAAAATCGAAAATCAAATTTTAATACAGTTAATATAATTTATATAAAGTTTATATAATTTAAATTTATATATAATTTATATAAAATTAATAAAGTAATAAGTAAAGAAAATAAATTCATTAAATGTAGCATATAATTTTTTTATCTATTTACACTTTTATCGCGTCCACGATAAGTTTTAACGGTATGAAACGACATGTGATAGATTTAACTTATCGATATACAGAGTATCTGACATAAGATGTCACACCAAAAATATATACAAGTAGATCTTGTTATTTTGGATTTGGAGACAATTTTTCCTCGGTGAAAATTTATTGAGGCATCAATAATTTTCGAGTTATAAGCGATTGAAAATAAAGGATTTTTCGCAAACTAAGCCTTGTGGAAATAAAATATTAATAAAACCACATTCTCCAATTAATTTTAAGTAGAGTTTACTTTAATAAAATTTTAATTTAAGGTTTAGTTATGAAGATACATGATGGCAAAAATTGGGAACATGCAAAAAATGATGGCCTCCCTCGATATTTTTGCTGAGAAAAAATCATCTCCAAATAACGCGATTTACTCGTATATTTTCGGTGTGACACTTTATGTTAGACACCCTGTATATATACAGGTTTCTCGAAACTTACTAACAGGAAATAAATACAAGTTTAATTAAATTTGATGACAAAAATATGTTTTACTTAAACTTTAATGGTTTTTCTCTCTTTTCTTATCAATGTAATTAGAATGAAAAATGACGAAAAAAATAATAAAATAAAATAAATAGCTATTTTTGAATTCGATGTATCGACAGTTTATTATTATAAAATGGTAATAAATACACAGGTACAAATGATACATAAATTTACAGACGAAGATTATAATACTTAAAAATAAGATATATTTTTTCTATATATTTTAAACTCTAAACACTAGTGTTTTTTAATCTTTTTTTAATTTTCGTGTATATAGAAAATTGATTGATTAAAAATTTTATATTATTCTAGTGACTGATCAGATAAAAGAGTAAAACAACAAAATGTGCTGGCACGATAAAGCATTACAATGACATACAATACATAGTCCGTGAAATAAAAATCTCATATAACACGCTCTACATATCGCTTGTGCTATACAACACACACGTTATTCACTTTCCATTCAAAGATCGCGCACGAAACAGAGCCAATTTTCGCTAAACTTGATGAATGCGTAAAACATTGAAAAGAAACTTGTAAAATATTTTCTACGTAATATTGTATACTCTTAATACAATTATTTTTCAAAAGGCAATCAAGATGTAGAAGATTTAGTACGAAACACCATAAATAATGGCGAGAGTATTTTTTTTCCCTCCCTTTGGTTGGCTTTATTAATGCTTGCGTTTTATTGTATATTGACGACAGGAAATATTTCATACACGTGATACCTTACATAATTATTGTTTTACCTAAGTGCTGTGCGAAGTAGCTTCTTGTTCTCCACTATAAAGTAAAATAAAATAAAATTCTTTATTGTTTACTAGCTTTTCCAATATCATATAAATATTAATTTTTCTACTATTAATAAATATATTTTATATTTAATGATTAATTCTTTGAATAATCAAAATATCAATAAAAATTATATTTAATTGTACGTCATACAATTAAAGATTGATAAATATTTAACCTATTTATGCTACAAATAAAAATAAAAATGTAAGTAGATAAAAAAATTTATATGCTACATTTAATGAATTTATTTTCTTTACTTATTACTTTATTAATTTTATATAAATTATATAAATTTTAGATAAATTATATTATTAACTGTACTGAAATTTAATTTTCGAATTTTTAATTAAAAATCAATAAATGAGAAATTTAATTAAGAGTCTTTTCTAAGAAACATTATAATTTACCACAAAATATTTTTGGAAATTGAAAATATCACATAAAAAATACTTACTTAGAGCAGTATATTTATAAACATTTTTATATTCGGAAATAGATATATAAAATCAGGTAGCATTTTAAAAATATTTATATAAATTATTTAAGATTAAAATTATATGAAAAGAACAATAGAATATGTTAACATTTCAGAATTGTGATTTTAATGTAACTGGCTTATTAAAAAAAAAAAAGCATAATCGATTCAAGTACAAAGACCTATAATTTTATATCCGTAGAAGATTATATTATTATAATTGTCCACATTTTGCTAATATCATTTTCACAATTTATTATTTATACATTTACCTGCTGCATTCGACGAAAATCACGATGCAGGTGACGATTTCATTGTCAAAATTCGATGGAAGAAATATCGGAATAATGACTAAATTTTATCACGTTAACGACTGGCCTTGTTAACGCGCACTTCGGTCCATCATCGCGACTCGAGATCGATCGCGATCTTTCTCACATCGGCTTTCTTCGTCGTTATTAGCGTTGAGCGGGGGATCAATTATTGTTATCAGCGTTCACATAAGAGCCGGCGTTATCACTTCTCGAGGCTGAACTCGCGGTCGAACTCGCGGATCGCTTAGAACTCACGATTCCGAACAACGCGTTGTTACGAGCGCGTCATCGATCGTCGTTTAGCATCACTCCTCGTCCTCGTAGTCGACGTCGACGTCGTCAACGTCCTCTGGTAGATACGAAAGCGCGAGATATTCCCTTGCGCCACTAGCCTTGCGGAGATTGTTGCCTTTCATCCCTCGGTAGCTAACGCGGATCCACTGTCGATTTCTCTCTTCAGACCCTCTCTCTGTCTTCCCTCTTTCTCCCAGTCTGGTTCACTCCGGAAATCGTCCTCTCGCTCTCCCGCCTGCCAACGTGTGCCTGGTTACTATCTCTATCGCTCCCACCCTCTTTCCACCCTCGCTTTCGCGTCTCCTTTTTCACGTGCAATCCCCCCGTTTCATCCCCTGAATGTTTCCTCTGTTCGTTTCACTCGCATCCGATCTCCCTCCTCTCCCTCTCGGATCGCCTTGATGCGCTTCTCTCTTTCGCTCCTCCGAGAATCCCTCCCTCGTCTTTCGTCACCATTCCCCGGGCTACCCCTTGCGAATCGCGCGCATGCACGGTATACCTATTTCGCTATACACCCTCTATCTCGGCCGACCTAGTGACACACAGCCGGTGATCGGATTTTCTGAGCGAGTCGATCGAACGCTACCATATACCATATAGCTATTGTCGCTCTCTCATCTCCTCTACAACATTCTTAGGACCTTAAGCAGGTGTCGTTAACCTTCGAGAATTGTAATGCCGAAATAATCAGAAATAATCGATATTTATACACAGTAGGAAAATTTGTGTTTTCTTGTTAAAAACGGTCCCCGTGAACATTTTTGTGGTAAATATTTACAGGATGTATATACTCCCGGAAAAAAACCTGGAAAACCTGGAATTCTCCGCGGAATTATTTCTACCTTGAAAAGTCCTCGAATACTCATGGAATTTATTTTAAACTCAGGGATTTTTTTTTAAAATTGCCTCTTTGATTTTATTTTCAAATATAAAATTTATTAGGTTTATATAAAATATATAAAAAAATTTTAATATATAAAATATATTATTATATTAAAAAATATTTTATTTGTGCTAAAAAAAATATGTATAACAAAAATAAACTTAATTTAAAATTGTATTTAAAATTTTTCTTTAAATACTTTAAATTTTACTTGAAATTTTGAACAAAAGTACACACCTGGAAAATCATGGAATTTATTTATAAGATTTGAGTATACACCCTGATTTAATACATTTGTGTTAATTTAATATATTGCTGTTGCGTTAAACTTAAATGTTAAATTATTTTTAATTTTACACAATAAATAATGTTCTGTTTTATTAACGACAAGATTATCTGTTAAAAATAGAAAAACATATTGATTTTCCATTTTATAATATAAATAGGGATGATAAAATTTAAAATTCACATATTTTTATTATTTAATTTTTACATTAAAACTATGTTAATTTTACACAAAATTTATTTTATAAATTATTAGAAGTTTTGCATTTATTTTGTGTTAAAATATTAACACAGTATTTGTGTCTTCACATATCCATATTATGTTAAATTAACACAAAAATTTCTGTGGATTGTTTGGGACATGTGATATCTGTTAAAAATATATAATTTAACCGTGCATTATATAATAAAATTAATATTAATCTCGTAATAATAATACATGTACAAAACTGTAAATAACTTGATTGGGAAATATGTAACTAAAGCTGTAAGGATATCGTTACAAATACAGTGTTAATATTTTAACACAAAATAAATGCAAAACTTCAAGTAATGTAAAATAAATTTTGTGTAAAATTAACATAGTTTTAATGTAAAAATTTAACTAAAAATATGTTGACTTTAGATTTTATCATCCTTACTTATATTATAAAATAAAAAATCAACATTTTTTTCTGTAAATTTGAACAGATAAATCTTCTGTCACTAATAAAACAGAACATAATTATTATGTAAAATAAAAAATAGATGCACATTGTGTTATTTTTACATCTTTTTTCATCTGTTTTAATAATTTAACATTTAAATTCAATTAACACGACGGTAATATGTTAAATTAACACATGGAATGTGTTAAATAGTTAACACAAAAATTTGAACGGGGACCGTTTTTAACAAGAAAACACAAACTTTCCTACTGTAAAAATGTGTAAAAAATGTGCAAAAATTCGCAAACAATCTCGGAAATGAAATTTCGTAACGTCTTAATAAAAGTAAGGTTTTTAAATGCTCTTTTAAAAATAAGAGTAAAATGTAGGCACGGAGATAAGATCAAATTAATAGGCGCTCGACTAAGCATTAATGAAGACTCACGTCCGCGTCATATCACACACATTACCACGACAAAGCTATCCGATAAGTGAACTGTCGAGATTTGGGGCACTTTTCAAGAGTATACACCAGTGGTATATACAGAGTGATTTGCGTCTGACATTAAAAACAGACTCGTTCTTAAAATCTCGAATGAAAATTCTTGTAATACAAAGATATTTATCACATTTAAATTTTTAATATATACGCTAGTATATGTCTAAATATATATACGCTAGAGTAAATAATAACTAAATCGCGGCGATTTAATCGCCTGCATGAAATTAAATAAAAAATAAGATTCTGTTGGCTCTGTTTGAATCTGTAAAAATTTAGAAATTATTAACGTGAGTTTCTTAACTATATATTCTCATCTTAAATTTAGGAAATTTAGTGGAATTTACCTTTGACGTTTCATACGCAAGACATATCATATGCAGTATATGGTAGAGTAATAGCGGTTAGATTCATAATCGATAAGCAAAGAGGCATCTACCCGGTGCCGCCGGCAGGTTCACTTACCTTCGCGAGGAGCGATAAGAATTTTCCTGTCGGCAACATCGATGCTAGTCGGAAATCATTTCACCCCGGCGCCTTCGAAGATGCGTTTTGATTAGTTTCGAAACGTTCGCGAGAAAACTCGAGTGAGAAATCACGACATCGTATCTTTGTAGCGGCTAGTTTCAAATCAGGGACAGCTTCTGCAAAAATTCAATTTTTAAAAAATGTAAAACTTTCAACGAGAAGCACATGCACACATTTTAATTATTATTTTTATAAATATATATATTGTCGAGAAAATTATTTTTAAGAATAATTAGTTATTAAATTTTATTAATTATTAATTTGTCTATGTATGATTTATATTATCGCATTATAGTTTTATATGAATATAATATTATTACTACAATATATAATATAGTTTTATGAGAATTTTGAATGATATTAATGCATAAATGTCATATTTCTACAGTGTGTCCCATAGAAAATTGCTGAAATTAATCAGCTGTCATTTTTTAATGCATGCAGTTATTTTATTGAGAAAATAAAATTTGTGTTGAAAAGAGGAAAGTTTACAATTTTTAATGGTTATAAATAAAATATTTGTATACCAGTTTATTTCATTGAAAAAAAGTAATGAAGAAAGTAGCAGTTTTACAGCTGATTAGTTTCAGAAATTTCCTATGGAACATCCTGCGTATAATCATTCCGGTTGTTTCAATTGCATATCTGTAAATACCCGCAAATTTTGTGCAGCTTAATATGCTGTTGCTTTAGATTGTTCTCCATATAATTTCCGCACTTGAATGTAAATGAAAGCAATCCTTCTAAATAAAGCACAGCCTAGCTAAAACATGACACGATCAGAAACACGCCTGGAAACTTCCTAATTAACGTGTTTAAATTTGGTAACTGCTGGAAGTTTAATGTGATTTGACGAGAGTAGTGACGCGTGAAATCTCGTTGATTGCAGGTGTAGTTTGGATCGTTTCAGAATCAGATGCGGTTAATTAGTTTCTTGGTTCTGATATATTAATTATAATAATCAGCAATAATATAGGAGTATCAAGATATAAAATAAATTTTTTTGCTCTCTATTTTCTTGAAATAAGATTTTATCAAAATTTTAATGTCCATATTTATATAAAAGAGAGAGAGAGGGGGGGGGGAAGGGTAGAACATTTTTATTTAATTAAATTGTAAGCTTTAATGTGCAAAAAATCTTTTTTTGTGTACTTAACATGAAAATTTCATGGTTTTATTAAATATTAATTAAGTATAAAATTATCTTTAAAATAATAAAAGTATAACTAGGATAAACTTTATTTTTGCTATCGCTTTGAAATTATTTCCCGTATAACATTTAAGTACAGAAATTTATGATACACGAGAGGAAGATTAAAGATTGATTAAACAGCCAATTACTTCAAATCACAAATTTATTGCGAGATCGTTGCGAACACGCATGGCATTAAAGGATTATTAAGCGCGAATATATACGATCGTGGCGGTGTGATTTTGGGGCTTGCGCGTCGCGACTCCGCTTGTAACTCCGCGTCTTAGGGGGTTCGCGGCAGAAAGATCCACGCGGCCACCGCAATGGCCTGTAGTACCTCGTGACGAGTGTCAAACTCATCGGCATCGTTGACGGGCACGAGCGTATCCTTGACATTTCCAAGTTGCACGAAGGATCGTGATTCGATAGATCGAAGATGACACCAAAGAAACTATCATTATTGTGAGTAAATCGTAATTGTTGACGAATTATCGTATAGCAAAAATTATATCGCAATACATTTGCAGGAGACACGCATTTCTCAATTGCATATTTTTATTATATATATATATATATATTTATAAGAAACATCGCATAAAAATTGTCACATAAAAAGTGTCACTTTTGTATATGCATCTCTTCTTTTTCTTTTTATTTAATATATATTATTGAAATAATATTTAAAATAATTTTCTCTCTCTTTAAGATCAGATATTAAAATCGTGAACATATTTACGCTAATAAAATAAAAAAAAATTATTTATTAAAATTAATGTAGAGATATTTGAAATCACCAATAATTAAAAATAATAAAACACACTCCTTTCGATTAAACTGGCAATATTCTTTTATTAAATAAGAATCACAACGTTTCGACCTAAGGTTTAGGTCCTTATCAAGTGATCTATAAAATATATAGAGCAGAAATATGTTCATTCTCGTAAGTATATGTATCCTAATTTTTGATAATGTTTGTAATCTTTGCAACTTTTCCTTTTTTTTTGTAACTAAATGAACATATTTCCGCTTTATATATTTTATAGATGACTTGATAAAGGCCTAAACCTAAGGTTGAAACGTTGTGATTCTTATTTAATAAAAGAATATTGCCAGTTTGGTCGAGAGGAGTATGTTTTATTATTTATTAAAATTATTAATTATTAATTAATAAAAATTATTTTTAATTACTTTATAATATATTTAAAATGTATATAGAGCTATCACACAGTAGTATAGAGCTGGCAATAATTATATCATGAGTTAACAAATGTATACAGAGTATAATAGTTATTTTGTCTATTTTATTGTGTCTTTTTATAATAATCATTAATTTGCAATCATATGAAGAAATATTAGATAGTTAAAATGTGTTGATACATAAATCAAATTGTCGAAAAATATAATTATAATTATAAAAATATAATTATAATATGCATTATTATTAAATGATAATTTTAATACATTTTTCTATACCATTTAAAAATTGTTTTGAATTAAAATCATTTTAAGAACTCGGGTGATAAATGTATGAAGAAAAAATTACTCTCGAATAATGCTCTATCCTGTATGGAGAACTATAATATCGCTGATATCGATTGTTATTCAGGTCGCTTTTAATTCATTTAATATAATCGTTATTTTAAATACTTTGTATTCATAAACGCTTTCGCATCTTGAAATAATAAAAATTTCAATCGTTGTATATCAAAGCCAGCGCGCTTGTGACGCATGAAACTCAAAGATGCATCTTAAACAATTATAAACGTACGCGTAGATTACGAAACTTGTACAAGCCTTTGAATATTTCAAGAGCAGATTTCGAGGCAGCCATCATAGAAAACCTAATTACTCTTTGAACTTAATCGAGCATATTTAACAAGTTATTATTCATGCATATACAAACATCGAACATCCAGACACATATCTTATTTTTATATAAGTCATCCAATTTGTAATAAGTATAATTATGAAATGCTTTTGCATGTTTTAATCAAATAATAACGATATTATAAAAATTTAGGCTATATTGATTTTGAAATAAATAATAAAAAATCTTTATGTGTTTGGATAGATAATTGCAGTGATAAAATTGCGATAATATTAAAGACTATTAAAAACAAAAATAATCAAATTATAGTTTAGGTTATTAATAACAATGTAGATAATGGAATAATTTTGCAAACATTTGTTATTTCACTTAATTAATTATTTTACTATATATTACTTGATTAATTATTTTATATTAATTATTGATTTTGAGATTTTTAAAAATTTCTTTCCCTATATGATTGTTGTTTATTGCGTATAGGACTAATTTTTCTAATTTTGCTGGACAAAATATGGCCGTCACTCAAAACTTTAGAGAGTAATTTTTTCTTCATACGTTTATCACCCGAGTTCTTAAAATGATCTTAACTCAAAACAATTTTTAAATCATATAGAAAAATGCATTATAATTATTATTTAATAATATAATGCAATTATAATTATATAATGCAATTATAATTATATTTTTATAATTATAATTTATTATATTTTTCAACAATTTGATTCATGTATATCAACACATTTTAATTATATTGATTTAAACGGTCCGAAAATTGGAAGTAAATTCACACATAATTTCACAAGATTGTGATTTAACTGAGCGTATAACGTTCTTTCGAAACAATGATATACGAACCCTCGTGGATCGCGAACGGATATCGCTGAATCGGCAAAAGACAAGAGGCACTTTCATCCACTTTTCGACTAGCCTCGCTTTATACTTTAAACCAAATATGATGCTCATCGTTTATCCCTTTTACGACTTTATTACGGTGTTTCGAATTTTTCACGATGCCACTAAAAAAAAATTTATTGAATTCGAATAAGTATTTATTTCAATACTGCCAAATAAATCATTTATTTGAAACTAATAATATTAATTTGATATAAAAAATATTTATTTGATATAAGAAAATCCTTTTAAAAACAAATAAATATTTATTTATTTGAAATAAATGATTCATTTGGCAGTATTGAAATAAATATTTATTAATTTAGTCATATTTTTCAGTGTGGAAATTAAAATGGATACGGAAAGTCGAGTTATAATGTTAAACTATAATTTGATAAAATTATATTATATTTAAATCTTTCTACGAAGTTTGAAGCTGTAGACTTACTGCATGGAGCCCATAATCTGTAAGATTAGAGTTTGATTTTAAAATTGAAAATTAAAAATTTCATAAGTTCGATAAGATATTTCCTCTATGTAAGATTTGTTTTTACGTTCCTCACTTAAAACTTATGTGCACTGAAAAAAAATTTGTTAACTAAAATTTTTAACTAAGTAAATATTATTCTGTTAATTGAACATTCTATTAATTGAACAAAAAATATTTAAATTAAATATAAGATATTAACTAATTTAACAAAACGTATATTTGATTTAAATACTAATATACATATATGCCCAATTAACAAAACAGTAATTTAATTGAAAGATTTAGTTAAATTAACAAATCTTTTTTTCAGTGTGTATATTAAATTGCAGTACCAAAGTTTTTCTTTGCACATTAATTGCTTTGCAAAACACTTTGTAAAACTTCTGGAAGATTTCGGAAGATATCGCGCGCAATAAAATTTTGCTACAGTTAGCAGAACGAATATGTGTTGCAAGCTGCAATTTATCTGACTCCTGCATGGAGAGATATTCTGATCCATGCATGAATAAAGTTCTGGCACGTGGACGATGCTATTTCGCTATGTCGAAAGACCAACAGGGAATGTGGACACTAGAGATGAGGGAGAAAAAAAGAACATAGCGTGCTTCGCATAACTTGTAATCTTTGTAACGTCAATGTCGTTATTATGTCGTGTTATATTATTCGAGAAGCTTGGAATATGTTGTATGCGAATATTATCTTTCAAATCGATTTCCACTCGACGAAAAACTCGGGGTACGATATTTTTGCAAGATATTTTAACAATAGATAAATAGATATAGGTTATAAATGTTCTATGATCGATTTATATATAGGTTGATTTTTGTTTGTGCATATAAAAAAACAGAAGTATAAATACAAAAGATATAAAATAAGAATAAATGTGGAAATTGTTTAATTATAAATAATAATGTACGTTTGATTTATTTTATATCGTTAAATTGCATATATAATTGAAAGTATTAAATAAAATTAAATTTTTTGTGAAATTTTATACGAATAATTTTAAAAATATTACACGCGGTATTAATTATGTAAAGAAATTGTTCTCGTTACAACGAAGATATAAAAATTTGAAACTGAGGACGGTATTAACTGGTTCTCTTTAGGATTAAAATACATGCGTAATTGATATGGCTTGAAATGAATTTCTCTTGATAGGATAGAATATCGATTTTAAAGACGAAACAAGTAGCTACGATGATCGATCTCATTTACACGATCACAAAAGTGCACTCATATTCACTAAATACATAATGAATTTCAATTATCGACATTTAGGCCTCATTTATAATGCTGAATATAATTTGATATTATCAATACCTATATTAAAATATATATTATATTCTACAATTTTTTAAATATTATCGCGGTATATATCTTTCTTATTTATCTCAACTTAAATAATTTTATTTTAATTCGTTAATTTTAAATATTTAAAAAATTATATTTTATGATTTATATTTATTTATAGAGATCTTTTAATTCATTTTGACATAATTAGCAAAGTTACAAACTTGAATAAATAACAATGTATTTTATTCTACAATTACATAAAAATAATTTTTTTACTTTAATAAATTGATAATTTGCATGACTGAATTATTATCAACAGATGTATATATAAGTGTATAGCTTTATTATCAATTAGCAGGATATTTTTTCTTGAAAATGCATTCTTTTATAAGTAATTTCCTTAAAGCAAAGTTAAATTAAATTTTCTTAACAAAATGTAAATTCCAGATCTTACAAGAAACTCGTCAATTTATAGAAGAGAATATAAAAGACTTCCGACATAATTCTGTGTATCTCTCCAACTTAAATCCAGCCTATTTAGTTTGCGCTCGATATCACTTAATTCTGTGTATGAAAATAATATTACAGATCTCATTACTGGGGTAAAGTACATTATATAGGGTGTTTCTTAAACATATGTCAAAAATTCAAGGGGTGATTCCTTGGGTCATTTTATGAAAATTTATATTTCTAATGATTTTTCGAAAATTGCTTCGTTTCGAAGATACAGGGCGATAAAAATTTATTAATATTTAATAATATATTTATTACATAAATATTACATGTAAAGCTTATTAATTTACATATTGTTCACAAAAATTGTTGAAAATAACTACCACCAGCTAGGAAACATGGATCTAATCTTCTTCTCATTGATATCATATTATATCGCCCTGTATCTTCGAAACGAAGCAATTTTCAAAAAATTATCAGAGGAAATAAATTTTCAAAAATGACTCACGGAATCACTCTGTGAATTTTTGACATATGTTTAAGATATACTCTGTATATATGAATGTTATCTGTACAATGTACATTATGTCTGCAGCTTCGTTGTTTTCGTGTCGCTCACCGTGTGCAAGTATCGTTATTACGCATTCGAAATCAAAGCAGCGTCGGGTTTTGCGTCATCATCATCCGGATCATTGAAATCGATGTTGACGATCGGCAGCAGAATGCCCAGAGCCACCGTGAACGATATCGTTTCGAAGAACATCACTATGGTTCTCGAAAATCTGCTGATGAATTACGAAAATAGTCAACTGCCTACGCATGGTAAAGGTAAAAAAGAAGAAAAGTCCTTTCTATTATACAATTGCAATTTGATTAATTTTCGGGAATTTCTCTCTCTCTCTCTCTCTCTCTCTCTCATTCAAAATTCATTAAAAATATTTCAGATCAGTAGTAGTATAGGAATCAAGATCAATGTCACATTTCTCTAACTTAGATTATATATATACAGAATATTTTTTGAAAAAATATATAATTATTTATATTATAATGTAAGAAAGAATTTTTTTTCTGCAAATGCAAATTTATATATGTACATATATTTATTAAAAAAGAAATTTGCTGCATATACTGCATTTTCAGCATTGATTATAATCACAATGAATGTTATCCCCCGTTAATAAATAAAGTTTAAATGCACAAATATATTTAATATTGATATTAATTTATGATTGTGACGAGCGATGTTGTGCTGCGGTCATTAGAACATTGAAACTGCATTTCATTATGCATTATATAATGATATAATCGCAGCCACATTCAACGGAAAATTAATATCGGACGATAATTGGATTTCAAAGAGTCCAGAAAAATAGTCTGACATAATCTAACTTTATTTATTGTCGATCAATAACTAGTGGACTATGAATTATATAATGCTATAAATTAATGATAACTATCTGAATTATAAATTAAAACTATTTTAAATTTATTATATTATATATTTTAGTATATTTTTCTCCTATAGTTAACAATCTGAATGAATAATCTGATCTATGATTATGGCAATTATTTCTCTTTTTAAAAAGCTATACATATTCTAAATTATCTTTAGAATGCTAATGTTGACATTTTATTATAAATTAAAATTATCAAAGAGTTTCGATAATAGTCAGATATTACGTATTTTTTAGGTATGCCCACGGTGGTGAAAACCAATATCTTAATTAGGAGTATGGGCCCAGTGTCTGAACTCGATATGGTGAGATTTGAAATTTTTTTAGTAAAGAAGATATGGCAATAAAGTTGCTTTTTTATGGTCGTATATATAAAATAATATAAGTATATAGTATTCTATAATATTTGTGTGATTATTATGTGTAATATTTAATTATTATATAAAATGAGAATCAATTTATTGCGGCTAATGATTGCTATGGGTAATTTTCATTTTAACATTTGTTATTATTAATTTTACATAGAACATTTTTAATGCAAAGTTAATTAATAACATTTAATAAATTTAAAAACTCATGAGGGATACACATGCATATTATATCTGAGATACATATAAAATTAAATTAGGTAACAATATTCTTTAATTACAAGGTTGGGTAATAACTAATTATAATTAGGTTTAAAAAAAGTTAAAAAGTTAATAACTTTCAATTTAGCTTAGTTAATTTTAAATTTATTAATTTTTAACTTTAATTAGTCATTTTTGATCTTAAACTTATTTTTAAATTAAAGTATAATATTATTAATTTTTATGTTTATTTGTCATAAGTAGGTATTGTAATTACCAAAAAATATATTTCTATATAAAAATCAAAATTTTTTTGTTATTATAAATTTTAAAAGAATTAACAAACAAAATTCTAATTTAATATAAATAATGCTTTTAAAAATTAACTTTTGATTTAACTGAGTTAATTTTTTGTTCATGCAACTTTTAACTGAACTAAATTAATTTTATAAGCAACTAAGTTTAACTTAACTTAGTTTAAAAAAATAATTAACTTACCCATATAATTAACGAATAATTAACTTACCCTATTTAATTGATTATTTATTGATGTATCTCATGTATCCTATGCTTCCTAGTAGACAAATCCAATAAATTCTTATGCATTATTATTTTAGCGTAGCGGATTTATTTAATGTAGTTTGAAAATTGTCCTGTCAGGATTATTCGATGGACTGCTACTTCCGACAATCATGGCGCGATTCGCGTTTAAGTTTTCTGGGCCCTATCAAGTCCCTTAGTCTCAGCATCAAAATGCTCGAGAGAATCTGGCGTCCTGACACTTACTTTTACAATGGCAAGCATAGTTACGTACATACGATCACTGTGCCGAACAAATTGTTAAGGATCTCCCAGGACGGCGATATACTCTACTCTATGAGGTTTGTTCGCGCGTGAATTTACGCATCGAATATCGCCAATTCTCGAACTGTCCTTGCATCGCATCGTTGCGTCCGTGCAATCGACAGATAGAAAAATAATTTAATTATTAATTCAACAATATATATATTTTTCCACGAAAAATATCACAGTACTAATTTTTTGTTCTCTAAGTAATTATAATAGAAAAATTAAATTTTTGTAAATAAATTTTGTTCTAGAAAAGTACATATATGTATATATATGTATATATATATATATATATATATATATATATATATATATATTGTGTGTATATATATGTATAGTATAATGAAAGGATAATAATGTAAAATTGAATAACAAAAAAAATCAGAGATGCTTTTCTAAATATTATATTAATTAATATTGATCAATTTTTTATATGATGAAAATATTGAAAATATAATAAATATATTAAATAATAAATTGTATATTAAATTAATGAAATGTTTAAATTTAAATTTGTTTAAAAATATTGTTTTTTAATATGTGCAGACTTACTATTAAAGCCAAATGTCCCATGGAATTGAGGAACTTCCCTATGGATCGACAATCTTGCCCGTTGATAATGGGAAGCTGTATGTATCAATCTCTCAAATAAAATAACTATATCTAGTATACGTAGCATTTTGGAAAAATAAATATTACAAAAAAATTAATGCGTTCGAAAAATTGCATTTAATTATATAAAAAAATATTAGATAAAATTCTTCTTATTGTGTGACAATATTGTGCCTTTTCCTTGTAATTTTTAAGTTGCAATTTAGAGGTGATTGGGAACTATAAGATAATTTTATTTAAATTTTGCTCTTCTCATATGTGCATAATGCCATCGATATGTTATCCCTTCGTCGAGCCCTCGAAATTATTCACGCCAAAGTTATATGATTGCAATAAATTCGATATTCCTTTACATTTCTGCTTTACGGTGTCTCTGGTGGTCTACCTTCTGTCACAACAACTGGCACAGAGACCTATCATAAGATGTAATATCAGAATTTATTATCATAAGCGCGTCGAACTTTTTTCAAATCGAGAGACGTGATTAAAATTAGATATTCGGATAGCGAAAAAATTTCCATGTAATGCTATATATGTGTTGAAGTATAGGATCAAACTTCAAGATTAGCGTCGATTTCTATAAGATTACCCCTATGCACGTTTGCACCGCTTTTCTGAGATAAACGCGAAAAATCGAATTAAACTGCGATATATTCTCCAAAACAGTGAGTCTTACGTAATCGAAACATAGGATCTGAAAAATATTATTTGCGGATAAGATATTATAACATATTATTAAAAATTTATTATCATATATTAATTGTTGTTAATATATTATTATTTTAAAATTTAATTAACAAATTGACGCTTTATTAATATTTCTATTACGTACATAATTGTAATTCATCAATTTTTATTATGTACATATAATTTTAATTCCCGAATTTTCATTATGTACATTGTTTTATTTCACCGAATTTTTATTATGTTTATGTACATAATTTTAATTCCAGAATTTTTATTATGTACATTATTTTAGTTGGCTAATTTTTATGATATATACATAAAAATATACATGAAAAATATTAATAAGTAGCAAAGCGGTGCGCCATAAGAACTAATTATATATTGTTGAGAATAAATAAATTTTTATATTAGTGATGTATTGTACTTCAAGTGTTTTTGTTATAATATTAAATTTTTGTTATAATATTATTACATCAATTTTTATTAGATGCGTACACATCAAGACAGTTGGTTTATGAATGGCAGGAAGGTTCAGATGATTCATCAGTGAACTTCATACCTGGGATGGCACTTTCACAATTTGATTTAATGGGTTCGCCGTATAGAAATCTCACATTTATTCGTCGGGAGGGCGAGTTTTCGGTATTGCAAGTATCTTTCATCTTGCAGCGCCATACTGGATATTTTCTTATACAAGTAAGCATTATTATAAATTGTAAATATAAAAAAATATAATAATATAATAAAAAGTATAGAATTATTATAAATGTTTAACTAAAACGCAAGTAATTGTCTTTTTTACACGACGTGTAAAGTATATATAGACATAAAAAGATTTTATTACATGTTTACAGGTTTATGTACCATGTGTTTTAATTGTTGTATTGAGTTGGGTATCTTTTTGGATTCATCGTGAGGCAACAAGCGATCGAGTAGGTTTAGGTAGTTTTAATAAAACAAAATTAAAAAAAACTTTAAAACTTTTTTTCTTTTTAATTTCTATATATAGCATTTATATGTCATCATCTTAAATTTATTCTTTATATTGTCTAAATATCTAATACATATATATATATATATATAATATATTTTATATATTTAATATTTTATATATAATCTATTTTTATATATAATATAAAATTTAAAATTGTCTAAAGTTATATTAATTTAATTAAAAGTTTTTTGAAATGTTTAAGTTTTCTTTCAGTAAAGATATTTGAAGACTTATTTATATAACTCATATATATTTGATATAATTATTTTTTATATTTTTTGTATTTTATATTTTTAATATTTGCGTCATTTTTTAGTCACGCATTTTTTGTTAATTATAAAAGAAATTTTAGATTTGTTTTTATTTTTATTATGCACACTATGTCTATGGCATTTAAAAATTCTTTCAATTGTGGATAATATTATATAATAAATTTTACAGGTATCACTACGGTCTTGACGCTATCAACAATAAGCCTCGATTCCAGAACGGATTTGCCAAAAGTTAGATATGCTACCGCTTTAGATTGGTTTCTCTTGATGAGTTTCGGTTACTGTATCGCTACCCTTTTGGAATTTGCTGGTGTTCATTATTTCACAAAGGTGATAATTTTTTTATGGTTGCGATATTTCATTATTTGAATGCTTTCTTTATAGGGGAGAAAATATATATTATATATTTTATATATATATATATATATATATATATATATATATATATACACCGAATTTTCAATTATAAATAATTAAATATTTTGGTATATGTATATAAAATAAAAAATATTGTATATATATACATATTTATTATGTATATATATATTTTATATGTATATATAGGCGTAAAAAATAAAATTCAAATTATATATATATGTAATTATATAATATATGTATATATACAATAAACATTAAATTATGAAATATTTTTTATAATTTTTAATTTTTATAATTTTGCTTTAATATTCCTTTGTATAGAACTATAAAATAATGTTGTAAAATCGATGTTTTGTAAAATAAATTATTTAAAAAAAATTAAAGTATATATACTAATTTAATGTTGATCAATTTGCAGATTGGTAGTGGCGAGATTCCATTGGATAATGAAGAATGGGAAGACTGGCAGGGCATCACGAGCGAAGAATTTGAGGATTCATTTCGCACGATGATTTCTTGCAGTCCTCAGACTGTTCATACGGAAATCGTTGACACGAATACTAGAAGACGCGGGTCCCTTATGTCTACACTGTACAGTGTAAGTTTGAAAATGCCATCAAAGAAAACTTGTATTTGAAACAAAAAGCATTTTAATAATACATTTATCTTTTAATAAAAGTATTTGTAGGTACATTTCATTATTTAAAAAGTTTTTAAATATTTTTAGAAATATATTTGTTTTTATCAACATTTTTAGATATATTAATGCATATCATTATATTTTAACTTTTTTATAAAAATACATATATATAAATTAATGTATATATTTTATTTCTGTAAATTTATTAAAATTCTTAATTTCCAAACACATTAATATAAAATAAATACTTTTTTTTTGGATCTTTTTTTAAATTGCTAACAGCAGTATATTTTTCTTCGAGTTATTTGATAAAATATCAATTATCATACATTCAAATTATGCCTTTAACAGGATGGATCACATATGAAGATTCCCGTTCCATAACAGTTGCCGTTTCTTCAAAGCCATCGACGATGGAAAGACAAACACAAACTGAGCTCATTTTACCATTATGGCGACAGTTTCTCTATTGTTTAGCGGGAGATGATGCTTTCAGGTATCCATTAGTAAACCTGTGCGGAAAATAAGTATATTTATATTTAAAATATAATAATATTTGTAATAATGCTTGCAAGGATAATTGCTCTGCATATATATTAATAATTAATAATATATATGTACTTATTGTGTGTTTCCATTATTTATTATTAATATATATATATATATATTATATTACATAACATATATATTTATAATAAATATAAACTATATGTTAATTAATATTGAATATTACAGACGCCGTCGGCAACGGGAAGTAGCCAGTAGTTACCGGAATGCGGTGATCGTATATCGAGACACATAAATAGCGTGTCTTACATCGACAGAGTGGCTCGAATAGTCTTTCCCGCGTCTTTTGGTCTACTTAACGTTTTCTATTGGCTAGTCTACGTTACCTATCAAGAGGAATTTAAGTGGCAGGACCCACCGATTGGATCGATAACACCAATCTCCCATTAACGAAATCTGACAATAACGCTTAAGTAGTTTACGAATCGGGAAAATGGAATAAATTCTACGCATATATATTATACATATATCTCTTTTTCATAAATTTTAATTTCTTTTAAGAATTATGTTATATATATATATATATATATATATATATATATATATATATATCTTATATATATTTCTATAAAATGCATCAATATACTTGTAAACTGTTAATACATCAATATTTGTAAATGCTAAATAACATTGAACGACTGCATACAGGACGCGTCATTGTCGGTTGTATTGATTGGCTGTTGCAAAAAAAAAAAACTTTCTTGAAATACTAGTAATAATCCATCTCCGATAGCCAATCCACGTATCCGACAAATCCATTATATAAATATGTAGTGTCAATGTCAAGGTGCCTTTTGACGAGCCGCTGAAACCGATTGTTTGAGCGACAAAAATGATCATGTAACAACTTTTGTCGTTGAACAAAAGCGGAGAGCACACACTTTTGCTTAGGCGCATAAGCGCAAGCATAATAATCTTAATTGGTCTATAAACGTATGCATAAGAAATTTAACCAATCGAATTTCTTATGCATATGCTTATGCGTTTATGATTGGTTGAATTTCTTATAGCACGGAAATGGTGGTCTCATCTTTAGACAAGCCGTTGCGTATCTGTCTATTATTAATCTGTGCCCTGGCAAAGACTCCGTCCAGACCATTAATAGACAGATCGCCAAAGGCCTGTCTAAAGAGGAGACCGTCATTTTTGCCTCTTACCGACACACTTGCCCTTGGTTCGAGTCCAGGATAATAAAATTCTTTGATTTTACCCAAAAACTTTGCCTTTGGTGCGAGTTCAGCTAAAATTTTTTTTATTTTACACGTATAATCAAAGGATTTTAGCCTGAATTCGCACTAGAGGCAAAGTTTTTTGGTAAAATTAAAGGATTTTATTAGCCTGGACTCGAACCAGGGGCAAAGTGTGTCGGTAAGGAGCAAAAATGACGGTCTCCTCTTTAGACAGGCCTTTGGCGATTTGTCTATTAATCTGTGGTCCAGATATATAAAATTTCACACTAGCTTCTTACAGCAGACTGCTGCAACAGTACAGTAATTTAGTATTCGTTCAGGCCGGATCTACAACAGGTGTAGTAAGCTCTAAGCTTTAAAAAATTTACCAATCACAGTCAAGAATGAGGGGAATAATTGATCAATTTCTTAAGGCCGGGTCTACAATAGGTGTAGTAAGCTCTAAGCCTTAAGAAATTGATCAATCACAGTCAATTATTCCTTTCATCTTGACTGTAATTGGTGAATTTTTTCAAGCTTAGAGCTTACTACACCTATTGTAGACCGGGACTGATTGGTGAATTTCTTAAAGCTTAGAGCTTTCTACACCTGTTGTATCCGGCCCTAAAGGCTTAGAGCTTACTACATCTATATTGTAGACCCTTATGCAACTTTGTTACATTTTGGACAGTTTTCGTGTGTATTTCTTCAAGACGTAAAAGCTATCAGATTGTGTTACCGCAGAGTACAGAACGTTCACAGAATTAAAAAAAATTTTTGTTTTTTCTTTTTTTTTAAATTTAATTTTAATTTTTATTTTCTTTAATATTATAATTATCCAAATAAATTCCAATGTTTATTTAAAAAGCAAATGCTTAATTTTTGACTGATTCCAAGGGGGGCAAATGACCCCTCTGCCCCCTCTACGGACGCCTATGCCAGGATACGTCTATGAATTCTACTATTATATATTCATCTATTATCTGCTAATATTTATATCTATTATCTAATATCTTTTATATATATATATATATATATATATATATATATATATATACATACATATATATATTGATCTAATAATTTATTGTAATATATAACTTTATATATAATAAATACACATTTATATAGTTACACATTTACATTTATATGTAATAAATACTATTATAAATACTAATAAAATACTATAATATAATAATTTTAATTTACACGAATGCTGTTCTATAATAATATTAGATTTATCCGATATCTGATATTCAATATTCAATCTTTATTCTCGCACTCTCATTCTCTCAGTACAATATAGCGCACGCGCGAACCTCTTACCGAGGCGTCCCTGGTGCAGAACCCTTCAGACATCGAACTTTGCTCTCTGTTTATTTTCGCTATGTTTATGGATTGGCATTCTAAGAGCTGAACCTCAAATTGTATAAAATGCACTTTATTGCGTCTGTACGATTTGTCGTGAAGATTAGAATGATGCGGTAATATTTTATTATATACGAATCTTGCTGATTCTTTTCTTTGAGATATGTATTGTGAGATTGTACGTAAGAATTTAATAGAAAATTCGTTAAAGTCGATCAACAAGCAATAGCTATATAAATATGTCGACGATGGAAGGTTCGCTCAGCAAGTGGACAAATGTTGTTAATGGATGGCAATATCGATGGTTTGTTTTGGATGACAACGCTGGCCTTCTATCATATTATACGGTATAATTTATCTGAAAGAATACATGATTACATTTTAAATATTATGCCCCATTTTTTCTTTCGCAATACATATATAATATCTTGCTCCATCTTTTCTTATCTCTAGTATAATGACTTTTCTTTTATTTAGAGCAAAGAAAAATGATGCGCGGAGCCCGTCGTGGTTGTGTCCGATTGAGAGGTGCTATTATTGGTATCGATGATGAAGATGACAGTACATTTACTATCACAACAACTTCTTGCAAGGATGATCCAAAAACATTTCATTTCAAACACGGAATGGCGAAGAAAGGGAACGCTGGGTTCGTGCACTAGAAGATACGATACTTCGTCATTCTCATACGGTATGAAGAATAGAGAGAGAGAGAACTTTTAAATTGATAATTATATTCTTTATCTACTAAAAAAAATAATATAATAAGATTGTTGCATAAAATAATGTTGTGAAACACAATATAATGTAGAGAATTGATTGTTATAGAGATGGGACCCTAAAAATCACCTCCTAAACAGGATTTTGATCGCAAAGTAGCAGAGGCTGATGTCTATCTTCAACTTTTAATTGACCAAATTAAATTAATCGAAGACAAAAAGATGCAGCTGAAAATGAAGAACAACAAGAAAAGTATTCTACTATTTTGTTACAGGCTAATGCAATGCTTAATTCCATTAAACATACTATTGTCCAATTACAAATTGCAAAGGTAATTACTAAATACATTATTTGTTGTTTATTATGATTGTTTGCATCGATTAATATTTCTAGAACACAGCAATACCTGTTAATGGGATATATAGAGGACCATCAAATTCTATACATGTCTCACCTCAACTCCCTCATGGTAAGATTTTATTTATATTTCTTGTATTTCTAATTTTATATTATTTTATAAATATGCTCTCTATGAAAAATTGCATTTTTAAGATGTAATATTAGTTGCAGCTGGAGCACCTGAAGCAACAGTGCAAACTGGTATCGAATTAGGTTCTGAATGCATGGAACCAAGAGTATCTATCTTACCAAATGGTTAATGTCATGTGCAGTATTTTTTTTATTTCTGACATAAATTGAACAAATTATTTTGATCTCATTAATTATCTGCTAACTGAAACATTGCTTTACATTTTCAGTTGTAGACAGAGATTTACCAGTACCACAATTCTCATATTCATCATCCGATGAGGACGATGATTACTTTGATGCCGCAGACGAAATACCAACTCCAATTGTTCAGAATCATATTACTCTGCAAGTATAATAGATAATAACAAATAAAAAAATAAGAATATTTATACATGAGAATATATATATATATATATATATATATATATATATATATACATACATATATTTATATATATAATACATAGAGTTAACATTTTCTTTGTCTATATAATTATAGCGTACAAGTCTTGTTCTAATATATTGATTGCAATTTCTGATAAAAAGCTGGTATTTGAATACATTTGACAAAATTACATATTTAAACAAATATATTTCATATTATTATATTAAATATTATTATATGCCAAAATAACATATAACTATTTTTCTTTAGTTGTCAAGATAACGAACGATTATACTCATCCGTGGAAAATGCAGGAGATAAACGCAAAGAGAAAACGCCTCTACCGCCCATCAAAGGCGATGGATCAGTAGATTATGATGGTGAGTCAACACTTTTACTTTGATATATGTTTATTACATGTTATATGTTAACTTCATTTTTTTTACACTTTATTACTTCTAATTATAAAAAGTTATAAATTTATGAACAAAATGTAATCCCGATTCATTTGCATATTTGATTACATTTAGCATTACACAGTCTGTTAATTGTGATATATTTGTACCTAAAAATATAAAATTAATTAAATTATAAAATTAAAACTAAATTATAAAAATAACATCTTGATATATAAATATTACATATCTAATAAAATAACAAACATTCAGAATGTTAAAAAGAAAATTGTATTTTAAAATAATTTTGTATATATAAGTAAATGTATACAAAATGCATATAAATTTAAAGTATTATTATTTCAAAACTATACATACATTTGATTTACAAAATTAGTGTACTAAAGTGAAAGGTATCTAATTTACTTACGGATGTTTTTAATAAATTGATTTAAAAAATCATCAAAAATTATAAAGTCTGATCCAAGTATATTATTATACATCTATTTTTGCAGTTTTAATTTTAATCTTCAAATAAATAATCACCCTATTCATTTATTTTGTTAGTCTCTTTATTTTTAATGTTTTTTTATCAGCTTTTTTTTGGAATTGTAGAGTATTAATTATACAAAAGATTTTGTTGAGTTTTGCATAAATATAATAATTTTATTATCTTTTTTCTCACAGTTATAATATTTAATTTTATACAAATTAAAACACTACACTGATCTTGATCATAAATTAGAAAAAATAAAACACATTAAATATGAATAAAATAAGATGTTCTTGTATTTTTATAAAATTTAATAAAGATTATCTTTAAGATAAAATTAAATCGCGAAAAATAATCTTCGCTATTATAGAAAAAAAATCGATTTTAAATGAATTAACAAATGTGTGTGCTGCTTAGCTATAATAACTACATATATTCATAGAAGGAAAAACGTCTATAATTAAAAATAATTTATTTATTATATATTTTCAAAAATGATTTTATTTATATACATATAATAATTGAAAAAGAAAACGGTATATTGAAGAATCATTTAAGAAATTGAATTTTTGCGATTAGGATGTATAATAAATATCTTGCATGTGCAACAATATTATTGTGATTAAATATTTATATGATTTGCTTAAATAAATAATACAATTAGAGGAGAGATATAATATTTAATACAAATTGAACAATATATAATTTATTGTCGATAATGCAGGTCGTATTTTGGTACCTTCTAATCAGCTGTTTTATCCGCCGTGACCATTATTGATCTTTCTATGATCGTGAATATTACTTTGACGTATTAGCGTTCTAAGAGTAGACACTCTTGCGAACGTTTCACGTCTCTTTTAAAGCAGTAAATAAGCAAAAACAAGAGAGAGTTGTGGTGTGCATATTTAATTGATATGATAATGAATAAGGAAGGTGAATCCCGACAGAACTTTACGTTCTGTTGTTTGCTTTTAAATCGGAGCATCCGTCGAGATACTTCGCGTTAATTAGAAACTGTTTAATCCTCCGGAATAAGGAGTTTAGGAATGGATTCTAGTTGGTCTATCCTTACAAGACAATATGTTTGACATAACTTCAAGTCGTAAGTTATATATTATTACAGGTATATACATGCAATAAAAAAGGTTAAGTTTATACAAATACAGAACTTTCATATACAATTCTTGTATAATATTGTTAGTCGTAATGAGAAAGATTTATGAATTTGAATTGGTAGTACTCTTCCTAGAGATCTCCTCATATTTTTCTTTGTAAATATTTGTTTTACTTAAAATTGTGAATGCATGTTTGTTGCAGCTCTTTACGAAGAAGAAAGCGAAACAGAAAGTAAGTATATATAAGCAATAAATATAAGTTTAAATAATACAGGATGTCCCATAGGAAAATGCTGAAACTAGTCAACTATCATTTTTTAATGCATACAGTTTTATTGAGAAAACAAAAATTGTGTTGAAAAGAGAAAAATCTGAATCTTTTAATGGATATAAATAAATGTTTGTATAAATAATAAATAATATTTTATTTATTGATTAAAAGTAATGAATAAAGTGTTATAATCACATAAAATCACATAAACTAAATGATGTATTTCAAAAGTGTCAGATTTAATAGCAGTATGAAAAGGAGCATCAATAACATTAAAATGACATGTTAGAAAGAGTTTTTTACGAGTTTTCGTAAAAGAACAGAATTGTTTGTGCAAATTCAAATGGTGTGCACTTGAAAAATATTTATCATTAGTTTACATATGTGATTATTAGCACTTTTAAATTAAATTACTTTTTATCAATAAAATAAACTGGTATACAAACGTTTTATTTATATCCATTAAAATAGTAGACTTTCTCTTTTCAACACAATTTTTTTTTTCTCAATAACTGCATGCATTAAAAAATGACAGCTGATCATTTCATCAGCATTTTTTTGTAGGACAACCCGGTATAAAATCAACCTGTCATAAAATTTTTATATATTATTACTTCTTTTTAATATTATATAGTGGATTCTATGGAGAGTCATGGCTCGGTCCGTGACTCATCTTCTGTCTCAAGTAAAGATTGGTATGGATTGACAAAGTTTGCCTTACCAACATTTATCCTAGAACGCAGATCACTCCTTGAGATTACGCTGATTATTTTGCTCATCCTGATCAATTTGTGAGGTACTGTTAATTATTTGATTTAATATAATTATTCAATGTACTATTATATTTGTTTTTTGGATATAAATTTTGGAGAATAATGGTTTTTCTTTTCTTTCATCGCAGATATGCCTACACCTCGAGAGAGAATGGTGCAAGTAATTCGTTGTATTTGTGTAGTTTTCACGCAGGACGTAAATCGGGTGTAGCTAAAAAGCCATATAATCCTATATTAGGTGAAATTTTTCGATGTCATTGGAATATATTGAACGTTAATTCTTCTGATAATGCTACAGATCATAGCAGCAAACTTGCATCAGATGGTCCTGTACCATGGTGCAAAAAAACCACCTTGCTTTTTCTCGCTGAACAAGTTTTTCTCATCATCCGCCAGGTATAAGCAGTTTTTTTATTTAAATATTGTTCCAATTATGTGGATTTCTATATAATATAACAATTTATTATATCATTTGCAGTTAGTGCATTTTATGCTGAGCATGTTGGAAAAAAATAAGTTTTGGAGCTCATGTTTGGACAAAGAGCAAGTTCTTGGTTTAAGTATAGGGTACACAATGTGGGAAAGGGTTGGGGTAAATGTGTTGCAACACGGGGAGGAATACGTTTTAACTTTTCCTAATGGCTATGGCAGATCTATCCTCACTATACCATGGTAGAATTAAGGAGGACTGTAAGCAATAAATTGTTTACAAACTGGCTACCATGCAACGGTAGAATTTTAACGAAACCTTTTTAAAAACGCCGCGGTAAACGGAACCGGATTTACATGGTCAAGCATTTCATTCAGCAGGTAAAGAGAAAAAACCGTTTCTTATTATAAACGGAGAATGGTCGGTGCATGGAAGCAAAATGGGCGGATTGTGTAAGTTGAAATACTACGTAGTTATTAACGGGGTTTATTAGTATCGTGCTACTAACTATGTATATTAGTAAAATGAATATTAATTAATATGAATTAAATGCTATAATAATTTAGCGTTGCAATATTGTAAGTTACTGTAAATTTCCAAGTTATTAATGAATTTTAAAATACAATACTTATTATAAAATATAATTAAATATTTTATAAATAATAATAATGAATAATTATATATACATATATTATTAATTATATATTATATACAGTATAAAAGTTAATTGCTGTCTTTTTTTACAGAAGTGTGAAATCTTTGCGGATGTGAGAACTTGGTACAGAAAGGAAATTAGTTAAGAAGTATGCGAGCAAGAAGAGTACGAGTCACGAAAGGTTTGGCGCGATGTAACAGTTGGTCTACGTATCAATGATATGGATAAAGCTACAGCGGCAAAATGTGCAATTGAGCAAAAACAACGAGACGAAGCGCGTTTTCGGAAGGAGAATAATATAGCGTGGCAAACGAAAGTAAGGAGCAATTTTTATTTGATATCTTCTACTCATTTATCATATGATTATTATTAATCATTTTTAAAATTTTTATTGAATAGCTTTTTAAGGAAACCAAAGATGGTGGTTGGATGTACATAAAACCTCTTGTAGACAGAATATGTAGTTCTAATGATCAAATGAATGTCACGTAGCATAATATGCTATTACATGACACAACAGATACAGCACATTATTAGAGGAAAGACCATGGCCTAATAAGAGCCCATAAGAAGAGTTGTAATATCAGGCTTAATTCAAAATACATATGCGTCTGAATATAATTTCATCGAATACTTTTATGCATATTAGTCACATATTTAGTTAGCTCAATCAGAAAAAGACACAATATTATCCGCCATTTTACTTTAAACAAAACATTTTAAAGTTTAGTTATATATAATAAACATATCTTGTCAACAATAATTAAATTTTTTACAATATAAAATACATATATCTCTTCCTTTATCATCTTTATCCTTGAAATAATTTAAAAGGAATAGGATTCGAACTTTTATTATATCAATATTTATATATATAATATATATATATATATATATATATGTGACATTTTTTATGCATGTACATTTATTGATGCAAAATTTCTTATAAGAGGGGCATTATATGTACAATATAGAAAAATCTGTGTATGTCGTATTGTACAGATTGTATGCAAAGTTATTCTATGATGTCATTAGACATAAATATATTCTAGAATTAGAATTATTTTGCGCACTTTGGGAATTTCTTATTGGCAAATACACGTATTTCTAATATATAATAAATGGCCCACATTTAAGAATTATGGATTTTTAAATAAATTTATGCATTTACGAGAAAGTATTTTTGTGCACTTTTATGCATAAAAATATGATATATATCATTAATAATTAATACTTAATTTTTAATGTAATGTATAAATTTTTCTTCAATAATTTTTCTGGTAAAGATTTCTAATTTATTCTTGGTGAAATAAGTTAATTTATGATACATAAAATTGCATTGTAGAGTATATTTTATATATACAATTATTAATTATAATACTGCAATATCCCTAATATAATCTAAAATTCTTGATTGAACGTTTAATGGTATATTATATCTATTATATCTTAGAAACACCTACAAAATATCTAAATATATCTTGTAAATATTTTTAATATCTTAAAAAATTATTTAAATATTTTATTGGTATAGATTTATATATTAGTTTTTTTTTTTTTTTTTTTTTTTTTTTTTTTTTTTCTAAAAAAAATGTGTATAAGAAATAGGTAAATATTTCTTTATTATAAAAATATAAGCATACAAAAATATATTAAAAATTATACACAATATTCTATGATCAATTATAACATTTAGTTCACAATTTCTTGTAATAACAATGTAACCAAGAAACAATCTGTAGCAACAGTTCTATAAATATGGGGCAGTCGTTTTGTCGATGATAACAAATAGTTTAAACCAGCTTCTATTGTAGGTAAGCCTACTTCAAGATGTTTAATATTCGAATAATTAGTAGTACTGATCTTATTGGATCTATATTTATATAATACTTTGGCTACATATTTCTGTTGTAAGGAAATAGTGTCAACATTATTCATTACTTTGGGATTAGGCTCTGTAATTAAATTTAATTTACAGTCCATTGGTTTTATCAGAAGACAATGAATTTGTTTGCCAACAGATGTTTGCAAAATAATTTCTTCTCCTAAAATTTCACTCAATGATTCTTTTATAAGTATTAGAAAATCATCGAGTGGATCAGTAGCATCCACAGTATTATTTTGTGCTTTATAATCCACGCAGCAATTCCATATTTTGAATAAACTATCTGTATGAAGTGTTCCTATATGTAACAAGCATTTATTACAAGTCAACGCTTTATTATCTATATGTATATTTCAAAAATACTTTTATGCAATACAGAGAAACAAGAGCTGTATAAATAGTCAGAATCATGTAATTGCATATTTGTGGTAACATGGGTACCATGCTTACAACAGAACCATTCATTTGGATCGCACTCTAAATCAGGTAAAGATAAAACCTTTTAAAATTAATCGATTTTGAAAGAACATTTTTACAACAAGTACATAAAATAATACATTCGGATGTTTCAAACAATAATTTAATCTTATTTAAAAATGCCTGCGGACTATTACTGGATGGAATTGATGTTCTGTATCGGTTACAACTTCTCTACTGAATGATCCAAATACAGATTCTAATGGTGCTGTTTGTAAACGAAAACAAATCCAATTATTTATTACATTCAACATGGATAGAGAAGTAGGTATTACTTTGACAGATGGCAATGCAAGATTTATGCAACAGTCTTCGAGTATTAATATTATGTTACTTTCCCGGAGTTTAATTCGAACATTTTTTAAACAGAGATCTTTTCGCACGGCAATAAATGCATTGCAGGACTGCAATCGTGGTCTTAACTCCAATGTAATGAGCTCCATTGGTTATCATTCACAGATGCAATTGTGTCATTGTACAAAAATAGTTCATTTTTCTCGAACGTAATTCTAAAAATATAACACAAAATAAGACTTTCCCTTAGATATCGTTTAATATTATGTTCTATTATGTATAGTTATATTTTGTAAAAAAAAAAATACATACGATTCTGCCATATGATGCATATATCAATACTGATCACCACGTGTTTGGTGCTTGTCAAAGCTAGGTCTGTTCGTTTTGGCTACACTGGCTACACTGCTACACTAGTTCAGAGATTGTCTTTTTTGCTCGACATTGAAAGGAAAAAGATAACCTCTGAATTAGTGTAATCAGTGTAGCCAAGACCAAGGGTTTGTTCTTTATTGCTGCACTGGAGAATTAGTGCAATAATTAATGTGAGATAAATATATTTTGTTTCACTCTAACTTCTGCACCAATGTACACACTAATTCACCAGTGCAGCAATAAAGAAGAAAAACCAAGGTCCGTAAATGAACGACGGGAAGGGAAGGAAGGTCATCGCATTCATATTTTAGTACTGGGCCTCAAAATGGCGCCGCCAATTCAGCCATCGGACAGCTGTTTAATTACAGTTTTTTTTCATTAACATTTCGTACGACACACACCGAACTACAACACACAACTTCGTAGCCTTAAATGGCGGCTTATGCGAGGATCTTCCTTCCTCTCTTGTCGTTCATCTATGGATCTTGGCCAAGACGAACAGGGGGTCGATTGTGTATCTCAAAACCTAGTGAAAATGACAAAAGTGAGCATTCAGTTGATTGGCTAATTTTGACTATAGTGAAAACACGAAATATTTCACGTGAGATTATTCGACAAGAATTATTGTGTCGAATAATGTCAAAATGTGTCGTAGATCCTACTGCATTATATGTTATGTAGAGTAGAGCGCGATTAAAATACGTATTAAAAGAGAGGACATTACATTATACACCAGAATTTGCTGGTATGTAAATAATTATAGTGCATAATTGAGATAAGAAAAGGTATTTTTTAAATCTATTCTTTACAGCTCTAATTGTAAATGCATGTTGTGTTTTACATAACATTGCTTATAAATGGAGAATTCCATTAAATGAAGTATATTTGGAGGAAGAAGGAGAAGTGTGCCGATACCATTTAATGATATAAATATAATGCAAGCAGAAGAAGTACGAATTAAGAAATATTGTGCGATGGTATTTGAATAGGATATATATATATATTTATATATTATATATTTATATATATTTTATCACATAAATTGTATCACATAAAATTAGTACATTTCATAATCTTATAATAAATTAATAATTAAGATTATCACAGTACATTTCTTAACTTCCCAGCAAACACAGTATATAATGTTATATACTTAGCATGTTACATGTAACGTATATGTTAGTTGTAATTTCCCACTCATAGATGTACATTTTTAATATTACATATATCACATTGTAGTTATATTGTCATTATATCCCAAGATAGCACTGACTTTCAATACATCAATGTGCTATTTGGTATATAATTACAATATAACTACAATTAAATATATGTTATATTAAAATGTTACATCTATGAGTGGGAAATTACAACTAACATGGATGTTACATGTAACGTGCACGTTATATTATCTGTTATATTCCGTTTTATTATAGATATGTAACAATTATATATCGGTGTTTGCTGGGTTTATAATAAAAGATTTTTAACACTACTTTTTTATTAACGTATGTTTGTATATCAATTCTCATAACACGTCGCGTCAATTTTATTCAAGCATGTTCAAAAATGTATCCGGCCCCGACCGAAATCGAATGTTTATTCATAAATTTAACATAATTTCTTTTTGTTTCTCTGTAACATTCATTCTTATTCACACCGTTCAACTGCAGAGGTTATAAAGATAAAGGTATCACTGAAACATATGCATGCATATACGCTTTACGGAATGTTCACTATGTTTGTGCTCCCGTGAATCTAGGGATATCGTATTTTCATCTTGCTCATAGCCAATGCGTGTATTTCTTCACGTGAAATGAATGTGCGAAAAGTGAGAAAAATCGACACAAATAGACAATCATCCCCAGATCTAAAAAAGTATGATGTTTGCTAATTTGAAAAATTTTTCTTTTTTGATTTTAATATTATCATT